TTTTCTGAAGAAGGGTCTAGACCCGCAACGTCAGCTTTCCTGCTCCTCTGATGCTGCTTGGCCTGCTGTGTTCATCCAGCTCTACACCTTGTTGTGTCAGATTTTCCAGCATTGGCAGTTCCTACTATCTCTAATCTAAAACATATACAGATTAGGAATAAGAAGTGAATGTTGAAAAGAAGTTAGAAGTTATATGTATCAGTCTGTTTAAATTGTTTATGAAGAGTAGATAATGGATTATTAATACTTGAATGGTTGACTTAGAGATCTTTGGCTCTTCAGTTGGTCGAAATCCTTTTGTCCTATTTTCTTTTGACGATGGTTGACTGGCTGGCACACTCAGTGAGATGGTAATTCTGTCGCCTTGTTTCCTTTTGACTGGCTAACTAGCCAGCTGGCTTCTAGCACTTAGAGCAAGAGAGTCCTTTTACATTATTGCAGGGGTGACCAGTGGGTGGTTGTTTGACTGTGATCTTCACAGCACACTAGTACTTTAACCCAGATTAACAGATTAACCCAGTTGGCGTAGGTTTTTAACCCATTTTTCTGGAAGGGCAAAACACAAAAACATCTGTAAGAGGCGAGGAGATAGTCAGCCTCCTTGTTACCTCTTCCTTTCTTGTCTCCCCTTCTGTTTAAAATTTTCCTAACAATCTACTGGTGTAATATCCTGTAGGTCCTACATAGGATTTTGCTAGAGAGCACTGAAATAACATCAGTGTCTCTTTGACTGTCTTTGTTTGAGAAACACTGTTTTTGGAATTAAAAGTTTGAAAATTGTCCATAGTATTTTGGTTCTAATTTGTCATTATGATGCTCCCTCCTCAGGAAAAATGTCAGATCCATCCTCATCTCCTTACAAAATGTGAAAAAGAATTAAATATATAAAACAAAAACACTCTCCCACTTTGTGCGAATGGGGAACTGAGCTGCTGCTTCTACCTTTGCAGCCTTGGACAACACTTGACCTTTGGCCTACTTATGTTGTCAAATTAGGTCACTTGGGACTCATAAAACCCACTCTTTATGAGATTGACTACTAGGTCAGCTGACTGTATTTTCTGAAAGAGGGCTTCTGGTTGCTCTAAGCCTGTTTCTCAGATACCACTGTGCACTAGGGTGTTGTCTTTTCAATGAGATAAATATGTCGCTATCTGGTTCATTAACCTTTGAAATGTGGTTGGGGCATTTTGAAGTCCAAATGACCTGACTTGACACTGGTATAACCCATCTGGAGTTACGACAGCAAGAGTTCCTTTACGCGGATAGTCAAGGGAACCTGCCAGTATTACTTCGAGTAAATTGATCTTAGTAGTGTAGGCTGCTTTACCTACCCTGTCTATCTTAATTGTCCAGCTGGGGTATCATAGCGTCATAGAGATGTACGGCACAAAACAGACCCTTTGGTCGAACTCATCCATGCTGACTGGATAACCTAAATCAACCTAGTCCTGTTTGCCAGCATTTTGGCCCATATTCCCCTCAACTCTTCCTATTCACGTACCCATCCTGATGCCTTTTAAATGTTGGAAATTGTACCAGCCTCCACTACCGCCTCCGGCAACTCATTCTGTACATGCGCCACCCTCTGTGTGAAAAGTTGCCCCTCAGATCCCTAAGGTATGAGTCAGCTTTGATCACTGTATTGACTTTTCGGTAATCCATGCAGAGCCTTGAGGAGCTGTTTGGCTTGAGTGTGAGCACAGCTGGTGCTAGTCTGTTTAAGTTGGTGCTGCAGCACCAACTTAATCTCCTCCCAAACATATGTAGAGCTAGAGTGGGGCAGCCTGGTTTGTATCCGCATAACCCCTTGAATGCAGTAAGCACTGTCGTTAAGTCTGCTTGCTGTTCCGCACCTTGGGTGAATAAGGAGACTAAATTTGTTAGTATTTCCATTTTGGCAAGCCTGGTAGTTGGTGGGGGGGAAGCTTCCCTGAGAGCCTGACTCACTTCTTCCTTGAGTTCATCCCCATTGCTACTTTCATGCTCCTGGTTGGTAACAGTGGGGCAGATCGTTACCTATTTGCCCCCTTCTTGGCAGTGGTATTGCTTTATCATGTTGACATAACGCAGTCTTTGAGACTCCGGATCGGGGGTGGGGGGGAAGTGATCGGGCAATTCATTCCCTTGAGCTTCTTTGATTCTCTGTTTGGGCTACCAAACAGGCCTTGAGTGTTTATTTGATATTGGTGGGAGCACCAACACATAATCTCCTGGCTGAAATGTTTGCTCCATGGCATGTTTTGCTGCCTTTCGTTAGATTTTCAAATGTTCCTGGGCCACATTAGGGGAAGCAATGGCCTAGTGGTATTATCGCTGGACTGTTAATCCAGAGACCCAGGTTCAAATCCCACACAGATGCATCTGGTCGTGACTGTGCCAAATCGCCCATAGTGTCCAGGGATGTGCAGGCTAGGTGAATTAGCCATGGGAAATGCAGGGTTTTGAGGTTAGGGTAGGGGGTGGGTCGTTGTGGACTCAATGGGCTGAATGGCCTGCTTCCACACTGTAGGGATTCTATGATTCGAAGTTTTGGTAAGGGTAACTACTGCACAGTCCTTGTTGCAGATGAAATTCCGCCTTCACATTGTGAATGCCCTCCATTGTGTTGTGCGGCATTATTGCCATTCAAATGATGGTGGAATTTGAATTCAGTAAAATATCTGGAATTAAGAACCTAATGATGATCATGAATCCATTGTCAATTGTCAGAAAAACCCATCCGGCTCACCATCCTGATCCATCAGGAAACAGCCATCCTTACCTGGTCTGACCTACATGTGACTCCAGACCCACAGCAATGTGGTTGACTCTCAACTGCCCTCTGGGCAAGTAGGGATGGGCAATAAATGTTGCCTGGCCAGCGACACCCTCATCCCATTAATGAATAATAAAAAAAAAAGACTTGACAGGCTCATGAGTCGCTTGTAGAACTCTGCTGCGTCATCTAACATGGAGACTTCATCCTTATATTCTGGATGTTTTCTACACAACCTGTTCAGAGATATTATTACACACCCTTTGAGCAGGTTGGACTTGAACTCTGACCTCCTGTATGAGTGACCTTCCATTCTAAAGAGCTCCCCTTCATGAACTTGAAATTTGAGCTCTGATCTGACTGGATCTTGGTGGGCAACCCATACTAGGTGAAAAATTAGGTAAATTCCCTCACCATTGTTAGGGTCGATATGATTCTGAGGGGAACAGCCTCTGCGAAATGGATAGTAAGGATATACTGGTAGCCTCCTTTTTTGATTTGGGCAGTGGGCCCTCAAGTCTGCTAACACTTTGCTGAATGGTTTCCCAGAAACAGGCATTGGAATCATAGTGGGGTTGCCATGTAGGGTTTTCCCATAACCTGGCAAGCGTTATCAACTGGAAACAGGTATTACATATGTATAACGTGGAGGCAATGGTATTATTGCTAAACTATTAATGTGGAAACTAAACCAGTAATCTGGGGACCCAGGTTCAAATCCCACCATGGCAGATGGTGGGTGTTGAATTCAATAAAAATTTCTGGAATTAGGAATCTTCTGATGATTGAAACCCTTGTCGATTGTCAGAAAAGCCCATCTGGCTCACTAATGTCCTTCAGGGAAGGAAATCTGCCATCCTCACCTCACCTGACCTGGCCTGGCCTACATGTGACTCCAGACCCACAGCAATGTGGTTGACTCTCAAATACTGTCTGAAATAGCCTTGCAAGCCTCTCAGTTGTTTCAACAAAGAAATGACATTGCTTGGATCACCTGGCATCGACCCAGGCTTTGGAGAATTCAATAGCAGAAGAAGCCCTGTTGACCTGCAAAGTCCTCCTTGCGAACATCTGGAGGCTAGTGTCAAAATTGGGAGAGCTGTTTCAGATTAGTCAAGCAGCAGCCTGACACAGTCATACTCACACAAACTCACCATCCTTGGATATGTCCTGTCCCACAGGCGGGAAAGATGGTATACAGTCAGCAATGAGTTGCCCTGGGAGTTCTAAACATTGACTTTGGACCTCGTGAAGACCTATGGCTTCAGGTTAAACATGGGCAAGGAAACCTCCTGCTGATTACCATGTACCTCCTGTGTTGACTGATGAATCCGTACTCCTCCATGTTGAACAACATTTGGAGGAAGTGCTGAGGGTGGCAAGGATGCAAAATACATTCAGGAGTGAGGGATTTTAATGTTTACTGTCAAGAGTGGCTTGGCAGCAGCACTACTGATAGAGCTGGTGAGGTTCTAAAGGACATAACTGTTAGACTGGGTATGTGCCAGTTGGTGAGGGAACCAACAAATGGGGAAAACATATTTGTCCTCATCCATACCAATCTGCTGGCTGCAGATGCATCTGGTCATGACTGCGAAATTGCCCGTAGTGTCTAGGGATGTGCAGGCTAGGTGAATTAGCCATGGGAAATGCAGGGTTTTGAGGTTAGGTAGGAGGGTGGATCGGTGTGGACTCGATGGGCCAAATGTCCTGCTTCCACACTGTAGGGATTCTGATTCGAAGTGTTGGTAAGAGTAAGCACTGCGTAGTCCTTGTTGCGGATGAAATTCCGCCTTCACATTGTGAAAACCCTCCGTTGTGTTGTGTGACATTACTGCTGTACTAAATGGGACCATCTTCGAACAGATTTAGCAGCTGAAGACTTGAGGCGCTGTGGGCCATCAACAGCAGCAGAATTGTATTCCACAATCTGCAACCGCATGGCCTGGCATATACCCCATTCAAACATGACCATCAAGAGCCAAACACATCAGTGCAAAAGATAAGGCTGAAGCATTCGCAGCAATCTTCAGCCAGAAGTACTGAGTGGATGATCCATCTCAGCCTTCTCTAGTGGTGCCCAGCATCACAGATACCAGTCTTCAGCCAGTTTGATTTACTCCATGTGATATGAAGGAGCGTCTAGAGCCTCTGGATACTGCAAAGGCTATGCTCCCTGACAATATTCTGGCAACAGTACATGGAGCTCCAGAACTTGCTACTCCCCAAGTCAAGCTATTCCAGTACAGTTACAACACTAGCATCCACCCAACAATGTGGAAAATTGCCCAGGTATGTCATGTACACAGCAGAGCAAATCCAAGCCGACCAGTCACCAGCACAACAGTCTACTCTTGATTATCAGTAAAGTGGTGAAAGATTTCATAAACAGTGGTATCATGCAGCACCTGCTCAGCAATCAGTGATGCCCAGTTTGGGTTCCACCAGGGCCATCAGTTCCTGACCTTATTTATAGCTTTGGTTCAAATGCCAGGGTAGTGTCCTTGGCCCAACCATCTTCAGCTGCTTATCAATGACTTTCCCTCCGTCATAAAATCAGAAGTGGGGATCTTTGCCAATGATTGTGCAAATTTTCAGCACCATTCATGACTCCAGAGATACCGAAGCAGTCATTGTTCAAATGCAACAAGATCTGGACAATATCCAGGCTTGGGCTGACGAGTGGCAAGTGACATTAGTGCCACATAAATGCCCGGCAATGATCACCACCAATCAGAGACAATCTAACCATCACCCTTGACATTCAGTAGTGTTACCATCACTGAATACCCCACTATCAACATCCTTGGGGTTACCATGGACCAGGGACTCAACTGGACTCATCTTGAGAGAAGCAGGTCAGAGGCTGGCAATACTGCAGTGAGTAACTCATTTGCTGACTCCGCATCGCCTGGCTACCAACTACGAGGCACAAGTAGGGTGTGATAGAATACTCCACTCTTGCCTTTGACAATGCCTTCCAAACCCTCGACCACTCCCAACTAGAAGGACAAGGGCAGGCAATACATGGGAACGCCACCAACAGCATGTTCCCCTCCAAGTAACTCACCTTTCTGACCTGGAAATAAATCGCTGTTCCTTCACAATTGCTGGGTCAAAATCTGGGAATTCACGCCCTAAGCCATAAGGGCATTGAGCGCCAACCTACAGCACGTTCACTACAGCGGTTCAAGAAGATAGCTCACCACCACTTTCTGAAGGGTAAGTAGAGATGGGCAATAAATGCTGGCAAGCTAGCTACACCCATGTCCCACAAGTGAATAAAATAAAAATTGGTCTTGCTTTGAATTTGATCATTTTCATAATTAAGATACAGATTTGCACATGATCTGAGTTCTACTGTATAAATGTATTCCCATTGAAGTGCTTTGTTTTTACATTTTGATTTAAACTGTATTGGTATACAGTTGAGGATACGTTTGAAGCCCCTATGCAGTGTGACTGAAAGATAACATGACCTCCATATTGAACCTGGCTTTTTGAGGGATACTTTGGGTAAGGTTGCTGGCTTGTGGTGGGTCATATGATGTTGACAAGGAACGTGCATTTATAGAGCACCTTATGCCCGTCAAATTTTGGGAAATGTCAGTGTTTGATACATTTCAATTAGTTTGAAGTGCAGATGAATGTGATAAATCCCAGAAAGATACCATAAATAATGGAGATGAATAACCAATTAATTTGTGCTCTGATGTTGGTTGAGGGAGGAATCTGGAGAACTAACTGAAATTTTCAGTATTTTCTTAGAATTTACCTCATTTGAAAGACAGCACCTCCAAACAGCTATATTTCCTTGGAACTGCAGTTGTTAGCATTGATTTTGTGGTAATGTATTGTGGCGAGACTTGAAAGCATGGTCTTCTGACTCCTGTAGGAATGCTACAAATTGAGGGGGGGGAGAAAAACACAGCTTTCAGAGGGTCAAGAGCTTAAGGGTGTTCAGATGCAGCTAATAAACAATCAGAATCCACTTATGATTAGATTACACTAATCATTAATTAATAATTGTTTGACTCTGCTTTTTTCAGGTTGGACTATTCATCGATTACTTTGTTCATCTCTTCTCAGACCTCAAATACCAAATCATTGGAAAATGTATCCTTTAAAATGTCATAATGTCAGAAAATGACAGGAGGTAAGTGTCCATGTATGTGAATGTAGATAGACAGACAAACAGAAGTTACAGGCTGGAATCTAATCCGAACGAGTTCTGATCATTCTACTGGCATCTAAGTGACAATGTAGAAAATCACCCTAATATGTCCTCCTTACAAAAAGAAGGACGAATCTATTCTATCCAATTACTGCCCCATCGTCCTATTCTCAATTACCGAGCAGCAAAGTGAAAGAGTGTTATCAAATGCCAGTTAGTTACGAGTAATATTCACGTTGATGCGCAGTTTGTACTCTATCACGACAACTGTTCTCGACCTCATTCCAAATGTGGACAAAAAATGGAAGTTGAGGTGGGTTTGATTGCACGGTTGTGTTTGTCCAAATGTGACATCAGAAAGCCCTTGTAAAACTGATTGGATTGTTACTAGAAGATATATAATCTCAATTTATATTTGCATAGCACCTGAGACATAATAAAATTACTCTCGGTGCTCCAAAGTGACATGATAAGTCTAAACATAGCTCCATAAAATTGGCTTATTTTCTGACTGCCCAAAACCTCTACAGCCTATCAAAAGCTACAAGTCAGGAGCATGATGGCACCTGTGACCCTGAAGATTTTTTTGATTATTATCTTTGCTGTGTGTATTTTCCCTAATTTTACCTCTTGAAGCGGTGGACGATTGCAGTGAGAGGGGATGTCTTGCACTCTCCCTCCTTGAGCTCCTTGCATTCAACATGGGTTTTGTTTTCCTGGCTAGTCTGTTTGTCTTGATTGAGGTAAGAGTGCAAGTGTGTTGCATCACATTTGACTTGTGTTTTAAATAAAAAATAGCAACTATTAAGGCAGCAAAGGTGTACAATGCCTTGTGCCCACTGTTGAGTCTCTGGACAATGGAGCAGTGCATTCAGTGTCTGCTGTTCAGCTCATGCACAGCTGATGTCAATTGCATATTGCCTGTCTCCCTGCTAGAAACAAAAAATGTTTCCTGTGACAGGGATCAGGCTGCTTGTATCTATGTTCTGCCAGGGTTGGGGACAGTATCATGTTTTGAAAAATATGTTATTGTTTCAGCCAGTTGCAGCTGGATCAGGAATTCCTGAAATCAAATGTTATCTAAATGGGGTAAAGATCCCTGGAATTGTGAGACTGCGGACCCTGGTCTGTAAAGCAGTGGGCGTGTTGTTCTGTGTGGCTGGAGGTAAGGGGCGACTTGAGGTTTTTTTTCCTGTGTTCGTTGCATGTTCAGGAAAATATGCTTAATCAGAAGCAACGCGTAACCTTTAACAATACAGAAAATATGTATCGATGGATCAGAATCTGAGATAAGGACAGCTTGACATTTTGAGTGGAAGCCTTTAACAGACCTAAAAGACCTTTTATTTCCATTGTGTTATTGTGGATCTGACATGCTTTTGTTTTGCCTGACTGACATCCACAACCTTTATAATGTGCAGGCTGCTGTGCTAATGGCTATAAGTTCTTCCTCCTCCTACTTAAGTTGATGCTAATGGAACTCAGACTTCTAACAAAGGATGCTACAAGTGTCAGTAAAGTATGATAAATATACTTTTGGTTTCTCTGCTGTGCTCAGTTATCCTATGAGGCACAGTTGGTGCTGTCTTGCCCTGTTTGGTTGTACCTTGTCCCACTGTTGATGGCCCATCTTTTTTGCCCACTGTTTTCTGCACTTTATTTATTGCTGTACCCATGAAGGTATTGGCTTCATTTTAATGACAAGTGTATGCAAATGATGGGAGGATCACATAGTGAGTCAACAAGTTCTAATAGAGTTTTACTTTCTTTGCTTTATATATTAATTCTTGGAGTGACTGTGTTTCTAGCAAGGCCAGCCTTTAATGCCTGTCCTTAAATGCCTTCAGAAGCTAGTGGTGAACTACTGCCTTAAATACTGCATGACTTAATTACAGTCCCATAATAATTCCCTGAACTGTGTGCATTGTGTGTTCTGTCTGTAAACTGAATTGGGAACTGTTTTCAACCTGAGGTACATTTTGATGTTCAGAAGATATTATGCCAGTTTACTGCTTAATGTCTTGCTGGTAGGGAGCACCGACATATGATTAAATACAATGGCTTTATCATACCTGGAAGTTGTGTGTAAATGCAAAGTTCTAAATTGCTGAGAGCCCCTAGAGTGTAGCTGAAGCAATATTTCTTAGATTTTCTGACTCTGAGAGGGCCACCTTGTCCTTTTGTAGTTTCAGCTGATTCACTTTAATGGTGTAAGACCTTTTCCTTACCATTGGGCAAAAATTTATTCGTTGAGTGCTGTGCTGTGCTGTTTGGCTGTTCGGCTGTTCCAAGCAATGTCTGATGCACATTTTGTTTCCTAGGATTATTTGTAGGTAAGGAAGGTCCAATGATTCACAGTGGAGCAGTGGTGGGAGCAGGTCTTCCTCAGGTGAGTAATTGGAGCCAGGTGTAATGGCATGCACCAACACCTATTTATAATGTGTTTCGGATGTATCACTTTATCATATGTGCCTCCAAATTCATTATTTTTGACTTTTTGTTCAGTTGCTAAACAGTGGGAAATTGATTAATGGAGAGTTGGAAACAAGTGCATGAAATTAAATTACCTAGTGTTGTCCGTCACCCTCCAAATGAGATTCTACGATCAAACAAGATAAAAACCCAAATCATTCTTTCTCATCTTTCTCACCTTTCTCACCTCACCAGTCCCAAATCCAAGTCCTACCACTGTTCCAGTTTCCCACTTTGGAGATATTCCCAGATGTTATCCTGAAATTACTCTATCTTAGTTGGAAATTGCCATGGTTCTGGTTTGCTTGGGTAACTGGTTCAGTATGGTGCTGAGCCAGCTCTGTGTTTGGCTAACTGGTCTTGGCTAAGCTGCCCTTATATCCAGTTGTTCTCAACAACACATCATCAAATAATCTATAACAGTAGGATGGGTCAGTAAATGAGATCAGTGTCTTCATTGTTTTTGCCTTTAACTAAGTTAATACTCTTAAATGTGTTGTTAGTCCACCCATTCTTCAGAATGCCAGCAGCCATGTGGTTCAAAACAATTCACAATGGAATGTTCATTTTTCTGGAGTTTGTGAATCTGGTCAGTTGTGAATCTTAGTGTTGTGGACTTCTGAAAAACTCAGTGCTGTGTATAGTAGTGCTTAATTTGTGACATTGTTTAATTAAACAAAAAGGTAAAGTCTTTTAGGTTTTTGATTTGGCACAGACATGCAAAAATCAAAGAAATCTGGGCAACTGGGTTTTTGTGACACAACAGGATTTGTTGGTTGGGGTGGACTGTGAGGCAGAGTGGGGTATGCGCAGCAGGGCTGATTTTATGGGTGTGTTTGAAACCAGGCAGGATGGCCTGTATGGGTCGTGGTGTGTGGGCTGGAGGACAAGGTGTGTGAAGTAGATTATAGAATAAAAATGGGTTGCAGGGTGGGTTGGAGTGGATATGTGGAGAGCTGGATCACATTGGGTCAGCAAATTTTGAGAATGCTGGTCGCCCTGCTTTCAGAAGGATGTTATTAAACTGGAAAGGGTGCAAAAAGGATTTAAAGGATGTTACCAAAATTGGAAGGCTTGACTTATAAGGAAAGGCTGGGACTTTTTTTTTTCCCCTGGAGCGTAGGAGACTGAGGGATGATCTTCCAGACGTTTATAAAATTATGAGGGGCATAGGTAAGGGAAAAGACCTTGGCTATTCACCTAAGTTAGGGAAGTCCAAAACTAGATAGCATATGTTTAAAGTGAGAGGTGAAAGATTTAAAAGGGACCTGAGAGGCAATGCTTTTACACACAGGATAGTGCACATATGGAATGAGCTGCTAGAGGAAGTGGTAGAGGCAGGTACAATTACAACATTTAAAAGACATTTGGACAGGTACATGGATAGGAAGGGTTTAGAGGGATATGGCCAAATGCAGGCAAATGGGACTATTCAGTTGAGGAAACCTGATCAGCATGGATGAGTTGGGCTGAAGGGCCTGTTTATGTGCTGTATGACTTGATGACTCTCGCGATGTGGGCAAGGCAGAGTGGAGCAGGGGTGGAGGTTGATTATGGAGTGGAATGATTTTTTTACATTTTGCAGTGTTTCAGTTTTTGTCTGATGCTTGCTTTGCTTTCTTGCCTTCTCTGGAATAGTTCCAAAGCATCACTTTCCACAAGATCCAGTTCAACTTCCCATATTTCCGCAGTGACAGGTAGGAATCATTTGTGAACTGTACATCCTGGTTTTCCTGAAATATAACTAACATTTTTTCTGTCACTTTAAACTGGCAGAGTTGCAAAACTATCTGATGCATGTTGTCATCCGTATTGGGGCTGCAATCATTTAAAGAGCGCTTTACAGCATGATTTCATGTCTGTAGAGAGTTTTAGCGATGTTCTGTGAAATGCGGTTAATTCTGCTGTGCAGTCTGTGCTGTCTATAAGTACAGAGTGCAGAATGCCACTGTGGTCAGCACAGAAGAGTTGACACTCTGTTTAAAAACCAAACTGAAAATGGTGTTCGTGGAGGTAGCTTTGTTTTCTTAACAAATCACAATCACATCACTGTAGTGAACTCCTTTTTGAAGGTATGGATGTGGCCAGAGCCTCAGTTAGGTAAAAGGGAAGAGCTTAGTCTGTGGCAGCTCAATGGCAGGAGCTTGAGAGCAGATTACACACCTTTTCTCCAGCTGGAGACCAAAAGAATCAGTCGCTCAGCAGAGCCTTAAACATGCTACCATTTTCTGATTCCAGGTTTGATGTGAAGCCTTGAGACATTGGTATGAACCCCACCTACACCACCACCACTAACCCAAGAGAAGTGTGCAATACCACATTCTGCACTTGGTTTTACCTTGCACCTTGATGAAAATTACCAGTTCTGTTTATTGGGAAAGGGGGAAATATCTTTTGACAGAATGTTTGCAGCAAAGTGTAATGGTCAAAATGTGGAAAAATGATTCTTTAGTCGTTCTGAAAATGGCAGTATCTCGTTTAAAATTTTTCACTCTTTTTCGGTCATCAGCCAACATTGAGAGACTGGTTATTGGGTGGGAACAAGATTGCGTCCTGGGAATCTTAGAGGAAAGGAGGGAGCTGCAGGGAGCGGGTAGGAGGTAGATGAACAGACAGAGTATGTGCGTCAAAGGAAAGTTGCAGCCACAGATGGTGGGGTGAAGGTTTGATTTTGCATTGTGACATTAGAATGTTACCATGGGACATCACTGGTGAGGGAGTGGGTGGGTGGAATGAGCACCTGCTGGCCCACTGGCACTGGAAAAGTACTTGCCCGTTGGATCCAGTTGCTGTTCCCTCCCTTTAGCTATTGGGATTCCTGAGCCCTGGGAAATAGTTTGCAGCTGTTAAATTGAAAGCTGCTGTAAAATTTGATACACATAAGCTCATGAAGGCATCAAATGTTGACTCCACCTCAGGAGTAGCCTTACCAACTTGTCCCTGACAAAAACTGGAAACATCTAAATTGTAGATTGATTGGTGACAAATTTCTATCCGATAATGCAAATGCTCAAATCCCCCCTTTGTATGTGAAAGTTCAATATACACTCGGATTCTTGCGTGTTGCTGGGTGCTTATTTTTGGAAATCCTTGGAGATGAAGTCGGTTTGTTTTATTTCAGCAGTTGAGTCTTCATGTTTTGGTTTTCACAGAGGAATTTTATCATACTGTGATTGAAAGGGTCTGTTGGTGTTCACAGGGACAAACGGGATTTTGTGTCAGCAGGCGCGGCGGCGGGGGTTGCAGCAGCATTCGGGGCTCCAATCGGAGGGACGTTATTCAGTTTGGAGGAGGGATCCTCATTCTGGAACCAGGCGCTAACGTGGAAAGTGGTGAGTGTGCATGAACTACAAGCATCGAGGGAAACAATCTGTGTTTTGGGCTGGTGCGGTATTTTGTCTGACTGAGGCTGTTTTTTAGTGCATTGGTCTTTGGCTGGGTTGGGGTTATGTATGGACAATGCAGTAGTTTGGTTGAGGTTTGGTTTGGTATTGGGTTTGGAGCAATACAGTTGTTTGAGAAGCTCTGGTGGAATTGGTGTGGCAGTTGGTTTTGGCAGATGTTGCTGTGTGGGCAGTATTGTATCGGGTTGGGCTGGTTGACTGTTGGTGTGCAGTTCTGTCCTTTGATTTCTGCTCTACTCTTTTTCAGCTCTTCTGCTCAATGTCTGCTGCATTCACATTGAACCTCTTCCGCTCGGGTATCCGTTATGGGAGCTGGGGTTCCTTCCAGCTACCTGGATTGCTCAACTTTGGCGAGTTCAAGGTATTCTGTGGATCTGGTGATGCTTTCAGCAATGTCCTTCACAACCTCATCTGAGAGCCCTGAATGCAAATAGTTTTGGATGTATGTAGTCCAGGAGAAATGTCACAAATTTAATGTTCATAGGCAGAGATAAAAGTTGTTGACAAATGTTTGCATTTATCTGTACTCTCATCTTTGGAGTGTCCCAAAGTGTTTTTTTTAACCAAGTACGCACTTCGTTGTTGTAATGAAGGAAATTAGCAGTCAGTTTGCACAGAACAAGATCCTGAAAATTGCAATGGAATTATGACCAGATAATTTTATTTTAGTGATGTTATTTAAGGGATAAGTATTGGCCAAGGCACGCAAGATATCTTCCCTTCTCCAAAATAGTGCAGTGGGATCTTTTATATTCACCTGAGAGGTTCTGTGGAATCTCAGTAAATATTTCATTGCAAGCATATTCCCTCCTTTGGAGTGAACTGGAGTGCCAGCTGAGATATTTGTGCTCAAGTCTCTACAGTAGGAGTTGAATCTGCAACCACCTCAATTGGGCAAGAGTGCTACCAACTGAGCCACACCTGATATCTGTTCCCTCGACTGACAAAATGAGTTAGGTTTTTTGTTCTGAATTTTCACTGATTCATTAATTACAGTTCAGTTGCACCAAAATTATAAATAACCTTTCTTATTGTTTGAAAACATACATCTATTAAAGCTGATAAAGCTTATGGATGGCGATCTGCATTTGAGTCAAAGTTGTGGGTTCAAGTCCTAGTCCTGAGGGAGTGCTGCACAATCAAGGTGCCAAGTCACTAAACTAACCCACCCTCTGGTCTTCCAGTTGGATGTTCGGGTACCCTTTGAACAGATGGAAATTCTCTTCATTGGGATATCTGTCAAAAGGGTGTCCTGTACCCTCTGACCTGTGACCAGAATGTTTGTTTATCCTCTGTTGCCCCATGCACACTTCTGACGAACATGTCCTGCACTGACACTTGGCCACTTGATGAGCCCCTTAGAGTAGGCCAGCTGTTTAGTGCCTCATGAACTGTCAGGTGGGATCTGTGTGTTTCATTCCATTGGTTCCAGCTTGTGCTGAAGTGGTTGCTGATGGCATTTTGTATTAGTGTGCAGATGGAGACAAGAAGTGTCATTTGTGGACAGCAGTGGACCTGGCCTTCTTCATCTTAATGGGTGTGATTGGTGGACTCTTGGGAGCAATGTTTAATTGTCTGAATAGGAGGCTTGCGAAGTACCGCATGCGCAACGTGCACCCTAAGGCCAAGTTTGTCCGGTAAGTAAAGAAGATAGAGCATCTTGAACTCACCACATTCACATCTTAAACTTTGATCATCATCCCAATTTTTCTAAGCTTACTACCCTATATTTCTTGCCCTCTTTTCTGTACTTGTGGAGGTACTGTTTCGTAAGTCATTTTAACTACCTTTGCTTCTGAGTGCTTCATTGACAGTCAGCAGGCTACCCAAGATGAGGCATTACAGCTGATTTCAATCCTGGCCTCAACAAATGTTTGAACTTCTCCTCCAGCTTGCATCGCTGGAAGCTCTGACTAATTTTCTTCAGCCCCATCCCACCCTTGCCTCAAGATTGCAATAGCAGTCCTCAAACTACTCCTGTCTAAGGTTGACAGTTGTGCATCCTTCACTGGGAGTTGGGTGTAGCTGTTATTTCCTGGATATCACCTCACATTCAGTTCAGTGATGTAAATGCCACAATTTTTGGGTGTAAACTGCAGGCAACAGTGTGACTCATTGTGTCCGTTCATCTTGCATTTTAATTGTAATGTCATAAGGGTTTACTTCTGTCTATCCACCTGACCTCAGGATTCTGGAGAGTCTACTGGTTGCTATGGTGACAACAATGGTCGTATTTATAGCCTCCATGACCCTAGGAGAATGTCGTGACATCCCTTCGCAACAGCATAGCAATAACACAGCACTACAAGTGAGTGTGCCACTCGGGCTTTCATAATCTCCATAAAGGCTTTGAAACTTTGAGCGTTGATCATTTTGTTCAATTTTAAAAATTAACTTGGTCCATTTGTAAATTTCCAAAATCTAGCATCTTTTGAGCTTTGTCAAAATAAATCCTGTTAACAATTAAATTCCTTTGCACGAAATTGAGACTTGCAAATATGTCCTAAGTGGTCAAATTCAGTAAGCTTTGCATGTGCTTGCCCTTTAAATGCTTTGCTGTGTGTCATTGTGGAGGTATGAGATCAGCTTATTCCAGCCATCCCTGGTAGTTAGAGACTTTGTCTCATTTCACTCTTTGAGTGAAACATTGTTATAAATGGATATCTGACAGGGTTGGGCTGTTGGTTCAAATTCAAGAGCTGCTGTTCTCTGACTTACAACTTTAATCTTGTCACAGCAGTGTGTTTTATTATATTTTGCTTTTGTCCCCTCAGCTTTCTGAGCGGACTGTAAATTCCAGCATCAAGACCTTCTTCTGTCCTAACCAAACCTACAATGACATGGCCACGCTTTTCTTCAACCCCCAAGAGACTGCCATTCTTCAACTCTTCCACCAGGATGGTGAGTCACAATAGGTCGGTCCATAGGATAGAATCGTAGATTGGTTATAGCACAGAAGGTGGCCACCTGCCCCTTTGTGCCTGCACTGGCTCTTTGAACAGTTTCATATGGTCCCATTGCCCTGCTTTCCCCAAGTAGCCCTGCATGTTCCCTTTTTCAGATAGTAATCCAATTCCCTCTTGAATGTCTCCATTTTACTTGCCCCCACCATACTTTCAGACAGTGTATTCCAGATCTCAAAAGCTTGCTGCATGATAAAGCTTTTTCTCATGTCATCTTGCCTTTTTTTGGCAGTTACCTTCAATTTGGCATTGGATTCTTCCATTAATGCAGTTTCTTATCTACTCTGTCCAGACCCCACATGATTTTGAATACCTCCATTGAAGCTTCTCTCAACCATGTCTTCATGTAACGTAATCACAATTTCTCCAATCTATCTCTGTAACTGAAATTCCTCATTCTTGGGACCATTTTCATGAACCTTTTCCATATACTCTCTAATGCATTAATATTCTTCCTGAAATATTCTTCCTGTAGTTCCCCTTGAGGCTGAACCAGTGTTTTACATAAATTTAACATTACTTCCATAATCTGGAGCTTGCTAGTTTTCTGGTCCTGCCTGCTAATGTCCTGCCTTGCTCCCTAAATTCTGACTGCAGGATCACCTCCTTTCCACATATGTCATTAGTACTGGTATAGACCACAATTGTTTACTGTTCATTCTCCTTCCTCCGTTCCTATTGCATTCATTCCCTTTGCATACGGTAAATCTCTGTTCCCCTCCTCACAATCCCATGTTAGAGTGTATCCAGGTACCTGGTGCTGCAGATAATCACCATTCACTGGAGTCCAACACGGATGGGCAGAAGACAACAATGGAAGATGTATGTACACCTGTCAATTGTAGTGGTGGTGGGAAAGCGTTACATAGGAAACTAGAGGTGCAAGTCATAAAGGTGCACTTGTGAAAATAGGCAACTTTAACCTGCATATAGATTGGGCAAATCAAATCAGTAACAATACCATAGAACAGGAGTTCCTGGAGCATACATGGATAGATTTCTGGGGCAATAAATTGAGGAACCGTTCCGAGAACAGGCCATTCTAGACTGGGTATTGTGTAATCAGAAAGGAATAATTGGAATTCTAGCTGTGCAAGGCCCTAGCGGAAGAAAGACTGTACTGTGATAGAATTCTGCATTAAAATGAAAAGTGATGTAGTTCATTCTGAGACTAGGGACCTGAACACTGATACGAGGGGCAAGCTGGCTAGGACAAATTGGGGTGTGATACATAAAGGGATGATAGTGGCTAGGCAATGGTAAACATTTAAAGTCTGCATGGAGGAACTGCAGCAATTGATCATTCTTGTCTGACGCAAAAATAAACCTGAAAAGGTGACCTGATTGTAGTTAACAAGGGAAATTAGAGTACTAGTTGACGAAGGGCATCCCATTTGGCTTAAAAAATGCAGCAGACCTGAGATTTGGAGCAGATTAGACTTCAGCAAAGGAAGACAATGGAGTTGATTAAAAGGGAGAAAATAGAGTATGAGAGTAAGCTTGTGGGGAACATACAAACTGACTGTAATAGCTTCTATAGAAACGTGAAGAGAAAAAGATTAGCTAAATTACATGTTGGCCCCATACAGTCAGAAACAAGAAGTTATAATGTGGAACAAAGAGACAATACAATTAAAGACTAATTAAATTTTGGCTGTATTTTCACAAAGGAGGACACAAATAATGTCCTATAAATGTGGGGGAACACAGGATCTGGTGAGAGCGAGGAACTGAAGGAGATCACTATCAATTTGGAAATGGTAATTGAAGGGATTAAAGACTGGTAATCTTTAGGGCCTAGGTCTGAGAGTGTTGCACTTAAATGCATGCAGTATATGAAACAAGGTAAATGAGATTGTAGCGCAGATTGAAATTGGCAGGTATGATGTTGTGGATATCACGGGACTGTAAAGGGCTCTGGGCTAGGAACTAAATATCCAAGGATATGTGCTGTATGAAAGGACAGACAGATGGGCAGAGCGGGTGGGGTTGCTTTGTTAGTAAGAAATGAAATTAAATCGATAGCAAGAAGTGCTAGGCATAGACGGCATAGAGTCTGTGTGGGTAAGTTGAGGAATTGCGAAGGGAAAAAAATAATTCAGGAGATAGAAATGGCATGTAAGAAAGGCGCAATTACAATAATCATGAGGGCCTTCAATATGCAGGTGCCCTGGGAAAATCACGTAGCAGATCTCAAGAAAAGGAATTTGTGGAATGTCTGCAAGATTGTTTTTGAGCATCTTGTGGTAGAGCCCACGAGGGAACAGGCAGTTCTGGATTTGATGTGTAATGAGGCAGACTTGATTAGGGAGCTTAAGGGCAGTGATCATATGATAGAATTCACCCTGCAGTTTGAGAGGGAGAAGATTGAATCAGATGTAGCAGTATTACAGTTGAGTGAAGGTAACTGCAAAGACATGAGGGAGGAACTGGCCAGAGTTGATTGGAAGGGGAGCTTAGCAGGAAACAACAACAACAACAGGATTTTATGGGGGTAATTCAGGAGGCACGGTAGAAATTCATCCCAAGGCAAAAGTATACTAAGGGAAGGATGAGGCAACCATATCTGAAAAGGGAAGTCAGAGACAGCATAAAAGTGAAATAAAAACTTTACAATATAGTGAAGATTAGTAGGAAGCCTTTAAAAACCAACAGAGGATAAATTAAAAAAAAATGGGGAGAAGATGAAAAATGAAAATATAAAAGAAGATTGCAAGAGTTTTTGCTTTTAGATATCTCAAAGGTAAGAGAGGGGGAAGCTGAACCACCCTAAAATGAGGCTGGAGAAGTAGTAATGGGTAACAAAGAAATGGTGGAGGAACTGAATATGTACTTTGCATCAATTTTCACAGTGGCAGACACCAGTAGCATACCAGAACTTCCAGAGTCGTGGGGCAGAGATGAGTGTAGTGGCCATCACTAAGGAGAAGATTCTAGGGCAGCTGAAAGGTCTGAAGGTGATTAAATCACCCAAACCACGTAGATTACATCCCAGAGTTCTGAAGGACATAAGTGAGGAAATTGTAGAGGCATTGGTGGTGATCTTTCCGGAATCACTGGAGTCAGGAAGTGTCCTAGAGTTATGGAAAATGGCTAGTGTAACACTGCTGTTTAAGAAGGGGGAGAGAGGCAGAAGACAAGAAGCTCTCAGTTATAACTGACCTCGGTTGTTAAGATTTCAGAGTCCATTATTAAGGATGAGACTGTGGAGGACTCGGAGGTGCATGGTCAAAAAGGGCTGAGTCAGCACAGCTTTGTCAAGGAGAGGTCATGCCTGACAAATCTGTTAGAATTCTCTGAGGAAGTAGTGAGCAAGTTGAACAAAGTCAGTGGATGTGATCTATTTGGATTTCCAGAATGCCTTTGATAAGGTGCCACACAGGAGGCTGCTAAACAGGATAAGAGCCCGTGGTGTTAGAGACAGGATACTGGCATGGATAGGGGATTGGCTGACTGGTTGAAGGCAGAGAGTGGGAATGGCAGCCGGTGACTAGTGGAGTTCCACAGGGGGTCAGTATTGGGACCACAACTGTTCATATTATACGTTACTGACCTGGACAAAGAAACTGAGGGCGTTGCTGCTAAGTTTGCGATGACACAAATATAGTCGATGGGGCAGGTAGTATTGAAGTTGGGAAGCTGCAGAAAGACTTGGACAGGCTGGAGAACGGGCAAAGAAGTGGCAGATAGAATAAAATGTGAGAAAGTATGAGGTTATGCACTTTGGTAGGAAGAAAGAGGTGTAGACCATTTTCTGAATGGGGTAGGATTTAGGAAATTTGAAGCACAAAGGGACTTAAGGTTAATTAACATGTGGGCTCAGTTGGCAGATATGAAGGCAAATGCAATGTTAGCATTCATTTCTAGAGGGCTAGAATACAAGAGCAGTAATATACTGCTGAGGTTGTATAGGCTGTGGTCAGTCTGCGCTTGGAATATCGTGAGCAGTTTGGGCTATGTATCTACGGCATTGGACGGGGTCCAGAAGAGGTTTACAAGAATGAACCTGGTGATTAATGGCTTGTCATATGAGAAGCGGTTGAGGACTCTGGGTCCGTACTCAATGGATTCTAGAAAGATGAGTGGGGAATCTGATTGAAACTTACAGAATATTGAGAGATCTGGATAGAGTGGATGTGGAGAAGGTGTTTCCACTAGTAGGAGAGACCAGGACCTGAGGGCATGGCTTCAGAGTGAAGGGATGGCCCTTTAGAACTGAGTAAAGGAGGAATATCTTCAGCCAGAGGCTGATTAACTCATGGCTGCAGATGATTGTGGAGGCCAAGTCATTGCGTGTATTTAAGACCGAGATAGATAGATAGGTTCTTGATTAGTAAGGGGGAAAAGGGTAATGGGTAGAAGGCAGGAGAATGGGATTGAGAAAACGTATCAGCCATGATCGAATGGCGGAGCTGACTCAATGGGCCAAATGGCCTAATTCTGTTCCTTTTGTCTTCAGGTCTTATTGGCCTGAAAATCTATTTAAGAAAGTGGCTCCAGAAATGCATTCGTGGTCATCCTTCAAGATTCTCATATAGTTCCTATGGGGGCTAGCTAATATAACCCCACTATTTAAAAAGGGAGGTAGAGAGGAAACAGAATTATAGACTGGTTAGCCTGACATCAGCAATGGGGAAAATGCTAGAGTCTGTTATAAAAGATATCAAATCAGTGATGGATTGGACAGATACAGCATGGATTTATGAAAGGGAAATCATGCTTGACAAATCTAGTGGATTTTTTGAGGATGTAACTGGTAGAGTTGATAGGTGAGCCATTGGATATGGTTTTCTTGGACTTCTAAAAGGCTTTTGACAGGGTTCTACAAATGAGATTAGCATATAAAACTAAAGCACATGGGATTGGGTTAGTATACTGATGTGGATAGAGTGGTTGGCAGATAGGAGACAGTATGAATAAACAGGTCTTTTTCCGAATGGAGAGCAGTGACTAGTCAGGTATCCCAGTGATCAGTGCTTGGACGCCAGTAATTCACAATCAATATTAATGATTTGGATGAGGGAACTAAATCCAATATCTCCCAAGATTACAGATGATGCAGCTGGGTGGGAGGGTGAACTGTGAGGATGATGCAGAGATGGTTCGATGTGATTTTGAAAAGTTGAGAGTAGGCAAATGCATGAAGTATATGAATGTGAGATTATCCAGTTTGATAGCAAGTCATTAAGGCAGATTATTATCTGAATGCAATAGATTGGGAAAGGGGGAGATGCAGTAAGACCTGGGTGTCCTTGTACACTGCTCTCTGAAAGTAAATATGGGGTGCAACAGGTGGTGAAGAAGGCAAATGTTTTTATTGGTGGTCTTAGTGAAATGATTGAAGTACAGGAGTAGGGATGTCATTGCAAGGGCCTTGGTGAGACACAAGTGGAATATTGTGTGCAGTTTTGATCTCCTTATCTGAGGACACGTTCTGGCTATGGAGGGAGTGTAACAGAGGTTTACTGGACTGATGTGTGAAGAGAGACTAGATTGGTTATGACTGTACACAGTGGGGTTTGGAAGAAGCGGGGTGTGACGGGGGTGCGGAATCTCATGCAAACTTATAATTCTAGCAGGACTAGACAGGATAAATTCAGGAAAGATGTTCCTGCTTAGTGGAGAGTCCAGAACCAGGGGCCATGATTTAAGGATATGGGGTGGGTTCTTTCATGTTGAGATGAGGAGAAATTCCTTCACCCAGAGCCTATGAACCAAAACATTGAATGTTTTCAAGAAGGAGTTAGATATTGTTCTTGGGGCTAAAGGGATCAAAGGTTATGAGGAGAAAGCAGTATCAGGGTACTGAGTTGCATGATCAACCCTGATCATATTGAATGGCAGAACAGACCTGAAAGGCAGAATGGACTACTACTGCTTCTATTTTTTATGTTTCTATGATCTAGTTCCATGCAGTGTAGAAATGTACAACATTTTTTTCATCACACCCCACCTCCAAAGCTGCTGAGGCTGGGGTTAATTGCAAATTTGAGATTGGTGACTTTTGTTTGGCAGCTGTATTGAATATTACAGAAGCACTGCAGATAGATGGAGTTAAGATACAGATGGGTCATGACCTAAGTGAATGAAAAATCTGACTCAAGCAGCTAAATGGCCTCACTCGCTGGAGTCATGAATTTGGTTTGCCACGAATTATGAGGACAGATTCCAGAATTTTTGGTAATATAGGCAATTAAAATTGGTATAATATTCTAATTGGTTAAGTATATTTGAACTACAACAGAGATTGATGAGTCAGATCAGCCTGCTTTTCTCGAGATATACTGTGCCTATGATTTTGGCAAAACTATTGCACCTGCTGATGGATTTTATTGTTTGAGCTGTTTTACTGTTCTTGTCTCTCCAGGAACCTTCAGTCCAGTCACTCTGAGCATTTTCTTTGTTCTGTATTTTCTTCTGGCCTGCTGGACATATGGTGTGTCGGTCCCCAGTGGGCTTTTCGTGCCCTCGCTTCTTTGTGGAGCTGCCTATGGTCGACTTGTAGCAAATGTTCTAAAAACGTGAGTGATTCAAGAATAAATTTTGTACGATGGGCTTCCAAGCTACTCCCTTCCGACCACAAGTGATAGCTGTTGTTTTATGAAATTGTTTTTACAATCACCCTAGAGTCCATTAACATTTAGAGATAATCAAACATTAGACAATTTAACAAAAAGTATTTGTTTGCAAAAAGCAACTATTTCAAAACAATTGGATTTTACTATACAAGGATCAAGTAAAGCAAGCCTATTAATAAACAGGATCATAGGTAATTGCTTCTACTTTACATCAAAAAACTCAACCAACAGATATTTTAGACTAAATTCCCCAATCAATGCGTACCTTTTCCACTATGATTCATACCTTCTCCAAGAAGTCTTTGACAATTTATCAAATTCTTGATGGTTATCCACTTTTTTGGGACTAACTGCAAACTTTTTATCAGCTTCTTGTAAGGTCTGTAAGTTTTGAACTTGAGCCTGGTTTCTAAAACTCTTTTCTCCTAGTTCACAGCTGCTTTACAGCTCCTGGCACAATTTCTTTCTTTCTTTCTGCCTTCTCCAAGATGCCTCATTGCTTACAATATGAAAGTTAGAGTGTAGATTTATGCCTTCAACTCCAACTCGGCAGATCTGCCGGACTCCCTCCTTGAATTCTATCTCCAAATTGAACGCAAGCCCTCAGCTACATTCCGTGCAGTGAATGATAAAACCAGCGTTCTCTCTGCTTACGGTCTGGTTTGTGTTAATCTCTTTTGCATCCTTGACTCAGTGAGCTGCAAATGACACAAGGATAAGGCCATCTGTTTGTGATAATCTTGAGTTATAGTAAGCCTGTAACTTGACCCTAAAATGGTTTCCTGTATCTCCTCCTTCATTGCAATGGGGAACAAGTAAGCCCTGTTTTCAATTAGGAATTTTAATTAGCTATCTCTGACCACAATGACCTTTCATCTTAGAAACACTGAGGCACTTTTAAATGCAACAATTTACAAATTTTAATACTGGAACATCTTTATGGACTTAAAGAGGCTTAAAAGTCTTATGATTGCAGATATGGCAACAGCAGTGACTGGCCTCAAATATAAATATCGATCAACTTGAGTCTTCTGTTTGATCCTTAATAATTATCATCCCCTCCTTTATAAACTTCAGGATGGATCAATCCTTCTTATTTATCCTAAATTTAAAGACAATCCATTCCAAACCATAGCCCTTTTATGAATCAAAAGCTAAATCCCTGAAATACATGAATTATGAAACCACATTCATAAAATTATTAAAATGTTGACAGTGTGTGGAAACTGGTAAGCATCTGTTTACAACAAAGCATCCACCGAAGTGTGATGTTCTGTGTTTCATCTGGGGGAGTGGGGGTGTGTAGAGAATGGAGGCTATTGAAATAGTAGGGTAGGAATGCAGGGGCACTGAGGATAGTAAACATTTTTTTTTCCTCAGGTTTATTGGAATGACGCACATTTATTCCGGGACCTTTGCTTTGGTTGGGGCGGCTGCATTCCTTGGTGGAGTGGTCCGAATGACCATCAGTCTCACGGTCATTCTCATTGAATCAACTAACGAAATCACATATGGATTGCCAATCATGGTAACACTGATGGTATGTCGTTTCCTGCCTACAAGTGCGTGGGTGTGCACATATGGCCACATGGTAATCAATATCTGCTGATAAATATGCAGTCCTCATGTAAAATGCTGTGAATAAACAGCAGTCTAGGATGAGGTACAAATGTACTAACCCAGGGTTAGATTAGAGTTATACGTAAGTTTGTGCCCTCCTGTTTGAAGGTGCCGTTTCTGTGATTTGCAAGTGAGTAGAGTACCTAGAGCTGATGTTTCAATGTTCAGGGAAGTAATTCACGGTTCCATGGTGAGCATGATAAAATCACTAAATATATGTGTGGTACTAAGTGCCTCAGATTGTTGCCTTGGATGTATTTTATCAGCAACTTCCATGCCCCCTCTTCCTGTCTCTCTCGCCAGGTTGCAAAATGGACAGGTGATTTCTTCAATAAAGGGATCTATGATTTGCATGTGGATCTCCGTGGTGTACCTTTACTTGAGTGGGAGACTGAGGCTGAAATGGATAAGTAGGTGTTTATTATTACTGAATTATGCAGTTGTTGACTATTTCTCTGATAATTGTTGAGTATTGCCAGTGAACCATTTAATTAGGTTTAATTTGAAATTCATGTTTTATGATGTACGTTTGAGAGATACAGCAGCATTGTCTGGCAATGCCCAGACCTTGCGCCTTTCTGACACACAATCCTTCATCTTTACTGAATCTCTCCAATCTGTCCTTTATTACAGTTAATTACTTCTGCATTTAAATGGCTTGGTGATTTGAATGTTGGAATATTAAGAAATGCAGAAACGTAGACCTCACAACAGTTATTAAGACTTTTCTCCAATGTTCCACAATTCCACTCTGGGCAAAGAGTTACTGTTGAGACTTTGCATCAGCTCCAAGCTGGGCAGTTGATGAGGCCGAAGGGGAAGTATTGTAAGACAACTTGTAAAGCATAACACAAACTGGAGTTTGATTCACTTTATGATCAATCTTAGACTGACAGCCAGTGATATCATGGAGCCAAATTTAACCTACGTCTATCCTCACACCCGGATTCAGTCACTGGTCAGTATTCTGCGCACCACAGCACATCATGCATACCCTGTGGTCACGGAGAACAGAGGGAATGAGAAGGAATTCATGAAGGGAAATATCCTCATCAGCAACAACATTAAATTTAAGGTAAATCTATGACAGTGTGTAATCAATGCTGGAGAACCAGACAAGTATGAGTGATACCATTGGAAACACAGTCTTGTCAGTTAATCAGGTTTGAGAGTAAATTTGAGGCAATGACAAGGGCTCCTCTGGACTTGTGTGGTGGCAGTTGGGAGATGAAGATGATGCTGATATGGAGAGAGAAATGTGTTGGGAGTTTAGATTTGTTTTTGTGAAAAACTTGCAGACAAATTTTGGTCAAACCGCCACTTTGTGTTGTGAAATAATTAAAATGAAGAATTAACTTGCGTTTACACAGCAGAGACTCATAGGATTTTACAATACAGAAGGAGGCATTAGACTCATCATGTTTGTACTGGCCCCTGAAAGAGCTACCTAGCTAGTCTCATTCTCCAGCCCTATCTCTCTAGCCCTCTAAATTCATCTCTTTCATTTATTTACCATGAAATTTGCCTGTATCACTCTCCCAGGCAGCACGTTCCAAATCCTAACATCTGAGTAAAGACGTTTCTCCTCATCTCACTCCTAGCTCTCTTGCTGACAATCTTAAAATTGTGACCCCTAGTTACGGACGTACCAAATAGTGAAAATAGAATATCTTCCTTTAGCCTATCAAAATTGTTCATAATTTTAACACCTCAAGAAGGTCAATTCTTAATCTGTCCAAAGAAGAACAGCCCAATTTCTCTAACCTTTCCTTGTATCTAAAGTCTCTCGTTCCTGGTATCATTCTAGTAAATCTCTTTCACGGTCTCTCCAGGGCTTTAACATGCTTCCTGTAAGAAGGTGCCCAGAATTGAACATAATTTGTAGAGGTGTAGCATCTCTTCCATACTTTTATACTCTCTCACAATGTTATGCCTCACAGGGATACTGCACTAGAATTCAAGCTCTGCTGTTCTTGGAGATGTCACAGAAGTTCAAGAATTTATGAACATTTCCAAAATTCCCTAATTCACTGATGTTTTAGACCCAGGTTGAGAGAAAGCACAGACCAGGTTTATATGCTAAATTACAATTTATTACAAATAAATAGATTCTAGCTTCAGGTATACAATTATGAGCCATCAAGATATGTTCACATGGCATATGACTACACTAGTTGAAACTATAACTCCTTATGAAACTTTCCTTTACACGTATAGACAGACACAAAGCTTGGTGTTATGGATGAAGGGAAAGACTACAAAGGCAGGCCAATGGTCCCTGACCACAGGGTTTGCTGAGATCCTTTCACTTGTCAGGGCTTGCTGTTCTTAGATATTCCTTCTCCAGGTACTTTCACTTGATTGCAGGAGGCAGAAGGCAACTGGTTCACACTTCTTTTTAATCACTGTCGGGATGGTTGTCTATCCCTAGTTGCTCTTAAGGTGCTGAGCTGCTGCCTAGAGCTGCTGCAGTGCATGTGCTGTAGATAGACCCACAATCAGGGAGGGAATTCCAGGATTTTGATCCAGCAACAGAAAAGGAATGACGATTATATTTTCAACTCGGGATGGTGAGTGGCTTAGAGGGTAGTTTGCAGGTGGTGGTGTTCCCATGCAACTGCTGCCTTTGTCTTTCTAAATGGAAGTGGTCATGGGTTTGGAAGGTGCTGTCTAAGGATCTTCGAATTTGTAAAGCCATAGGAAGCTTTTGCCTTATTGGTTAAAAGCCAGTACTTACTGATGAGGAGAAATAAACTGGCTTTTTTCAGGCCTGAGGAAAGAACAGCACCTTCCTTTCTGAAGGTCTAGTTACTGACTGAACATTTATGTTCACAAGCTATCTGGGAGCCAGTCACATAGTTGTTGCCAACAAAAACTGGTCACCAATTCCACAGACAAGTCAGCGACTTGTTGATGACCAAATCTCTCCTTGTATACACCCCTTGCCTGTAGCTCAACTGCAGTAAACTTCTTCATGGCTTGAACAAATAGCAGCGTAAACAAGACTTACAATGCTTTTAAAAAGTGCAGTAATCCTTCAACAGTTCATTTTTAAAATGGTCCTTTTCCCGTTTCAGTCCACAATCAAAAATACAGAAAAATAACAAGATACGATTTTTACAACAGTCTCAGGCATTTTAGAGCACTCTGCAAACATTAAAATACTTTGTACTCACTCTTGTAATTTTAAATACAGCAAATGTCCACAGTCAGTCAGTTACCAAATTATCTATTTTAATATTGGTTTGGTATAAATATTTATTCCCAAAAACTTCTTGTTAGTCAGAACTTACAGAGTAACTCTGCTGGACTGCACTGATCCAGAAGGGATCAGTTACTGGGCTACAGTCAAATATTGACCACACTAAATTATTGCCCTGCCAGGATAAAACTGATGTCAGTGGTCTTCTGTGCAGTGGTGGCAACAGCCACCAGAGTGCGTCTGTGATCCAATCTGATCAAACTTTCTAACCTTCCCAATAATGAAATTCCTAGAGAAGTATTATGGTGCACACTTAGGCAATGCCTTACACTTCTGAGCCTCTCATTTGTGGTCTTTTTTTTAATAATGTATTTATTATTTTGCTTTCTCTGGTATTTTAATTAAATGGTAACGACTTGAATTTTGGAGTCTTACGATGGCTAACATGTTGCTCAGTTTTCTAATCCCCTTATCACTGACTCTAGCAGTTTTTGTATTTTGTATCTTGCATCCCTCTGCAGTGAGTGCTGATATCCCCCTCCCTTCAAAAAATGCCTCTCCATGCTTGGAATGTAATTGAATCTTCAGTGATGTGCCCAGGAAATGGGCACTGAATTCCATGCAATTGTGTTGTAGCTGGAATTGTCTCTCAGTAATAAGCTTTCACTTTCGTATTAAAAGATCAATGAACACAGAGCACACTATAAATTATGGCCGAGTATTTGTGTATTTCTATTTAGCTATTAACGGCTGCATAATGTACCCAAGCTAGTGGACAAAATAAAAAGATTGCAGCTCCACAAATGAAGATAAATTTTACAAATAATAGTTTCAATTCCAATAAAATTTGTTCCCAATGTGAGACATGGTTAAATTGAAATATAAATATTAAAAATAACTTGTCAGTTTAAAATAAATAATTTTTGAGAAAAAAAGCAAAAGAACTGTGGATACTGGAAATCTGAAACAAAAACAGAAATTGCTGCAAAATCTTGGCAGCATTTGTGAAGAGAAATCAGAGTTAACAGCCAGGTCCAGTGACCCTTCTTCAGAATTGATGGTAGCTAATAATTTTTGCGACTTTGACACAGACCACTTGATTTGAACATTCTTGGGTTTATTGGGTCTACCTGAGTTTTGAATATCCCAGGTCTCAAAATTTAAATGTCTCCAGATCTGTGCTGAGCTAATCACAAGGCAGCTTGTTAGTCACTCTATAATCTAATCCAGATGAAATTTGCAACTTCAAGTTAAGATCAATGCAGGAAAAGACTTGCTTTTCTGTGGAATCTTCCACAGCCTTCAGGTGTCTGAAAGCACTTAATAGCCAATCGAATGTTTTCCAAGTACAGTTGCTGTTGCAATGGAGATAATGTAATAGTAAACCTATGCATGGCAAGAGCTCACAAACAGCAAAGTGATAATGATCAGGCATTTCTTATGATTTGGTTGAGGGAAAAATATTGGTTAGTGCACTGTGCAGAACTCCCCTGTTCTACTTCGAATGGCGGCCAGACAGGGTAGAGACCCGGTTTAGTATTTCACCTAAAAGACTACCTCCAAAAGTACAGCCTTCCCTTTGTACTGCACTGAGGGGGTCAGCCTGGGTTATGTGCTCAAGTCTGTGGAATAAACTTGACCCCCGGCTGCCTTACTTGGATAGCATCTGAGCCACTGAACTATGGTTGCATGGTTTTTGGACAGCTTATATACTTAGAATGGATTTAGAGGTACAGGCACTGGACCAAAATATTTCCTTTTTATCCTAGTACCTTTTATGTAATACAATATCATAAGGCATTTCAGCAGTGGAGAGAAAGTTAATTAAAAACAAGCTTTAAAACCTAAGTTTAGAGGTAGGTTTTAACATTTAGAAACTTTTGGGAGAGGTGAGCATGGACTGGAGTAACAGTGGGGTACATGCAAGAATGCTACAGGAAAGGAAGTTTGTAAAAAGCACGGTAATTAAAAAATGTGCCTGGGGTCGGAATAGGATTTTTGAGGACTAGGATTTGCTTTGCTGACCAAGCAAAGAGGGCTGACAGGAAAATAAAAAAAAAAGGCCATCATCTGATCCTAGTTAGATATTTAAATTCCCTTTTAAATTCCATGCTGGCTGCCTTAAATGAGTCAACGGAATTTCACACACACATTTTCATCCTTGCATTTAAATCTGTCCATGGAGCTACCCTTTTCAGTTTCTGTATTCGAGTTCAGTGGCATTGCCACAATTGAACTTCCCCACCATCAATATCATGTGTTACTGTCAATTTAAAAACTAACTGAACCAGTCATTTAAATCCTGTAGCCACTAGTAAGTTAGAGGCTGGGAATAGTACAATAAGTAAATGACCCCTTGACTATTCTGAAGTCTGTCTGTATCTACAAGACTCTACACTTACCTGAAAATGTGCAACTTGGGTAGCACTCAAGAAGCTCAATTTACTTTCCAAAATGAAGCAGCCCACTTCATTGAATCCATCTACTACCTTAAAGCATTTACTACCCCCACTGCTGACACTGACAGACCTGTGTACCATTCACAAGATGCACGACAGCATCATGCAAATAGTCACGTGATAATACAGAACTTGTGTGCTGAGAAAAGACATTCTATTGAAGGTTGTTTGTCTTGCACTCATCAGGACAACTTGCAAGAATATCAATTCAGGGGAACACCTGACGTGAGAGGAGAGTGCCAATTGGTTGGTGAGTGGAGTCTGGTAGAGGAGTTGTAATACAGAATACAGCCATTAATTCTGATTGATACAAAACTGCCTGTCTGTATCTAAATTGATTGACTTTGATTCGACAGGTATTGTCCTAAGAAATGACCAAACATATGGCTGTCACCTATTTTTTTGGTGCAGAAGTAATACAAATCAAAGCCATCTTGTGAGACAATGGCCACTCTGATCTGATTTTTTTTCTCGCTATATCATCGCACAAATTCCTGAATGACTTGAGTCAATCTTCATCCTGAAAAATGCTCAGCTTACCCTGACGGGTAACTCGAAAGTTTGATCAAGTGAAGCTAACTTTTTCATACTGCTACTTCGCAAGAGCAACACGAGTGATGCTTCTCACTGAAAAGATGCTACCTTCAAGTCAAAAAGGTGTTCTGCCTATCTTGCAACCTGTACCAGTCAGAGTCCACTTTCCAACCAATCAACACACTCCTCATGCAGTATAAATGTTGGCTTTCCCCTTGAATTGCTATTCTTGCGAATTGTCCTGATGATTTCAAAATGACAATATTTCTTTCTTACGTTGCAGGCATGCATTGCCTCCTTTGACAACACCTTTGAAACCCATGACCAGTGCCATTAAGAAAAGCAAGGGAGCAAATGCAAGACAGCCAACTGCAAGTTCCCCTTTTAGTTATGCCATCCTTGCTTAGAAAAATATCAACATTCCTTTACTGCAGCTGGCTGGAAACACTGGAATTTCTGCTCTAACATTGTTGTAAGAGTATCTACATTATAGGGAGTAGAGTGCTTCAAGAAGCAGCTCACCTCCACTTTAGGGCATTTGTGGATAGGCAGTAAGTACCCTTGCCAATAATGCTAACATTAATGAGCAAATCAAAAAGAAACACCAACAACCCCTTGAGATCATTGTGTTCCTCCAATTCTGCACTGGCTGATCCAGATTTCCTTCATCCACAATTGTTGGCCACATTTTCAGCTTTCCGTGACCCTATTCTCTTCAAATCACTCCATAAACATCTGTCTCTTTTCATTTAAGAAACTTCTTAATACCTGGCTCTGACTGCACTTTTTGACATCTTTGACCTAAATATGTACACTACACTTTGAAATGTAAGTTAAATTCAAGTTCATGACTCCCAGTATGATCCTGGTTTAAGGTTCCTGGTTACCTTGCTGGTACTCTGGGTGTTGAGGCTCATAGTTTCTTTGTCTGCTGCAGAAATCAAGTATCCTAACTCGAGCTGGGGAGCAACGTAAGCGGAGCCAATCGATGAAATCCTATCCTTCCAGTGAGCTGAGGAACATGTGTGATGAGCTGGTGACGACTGAGGTTGCTGAAAATGGAGAGGACATGTTGCAGCAGATGTTAGAACGCAGGTTGGTGCGTGCAATTGTCAGTGTTTTGGCTTTACCTAGTTAGTGTATGGCTTTAGTGGATGCTTTCACTATTTGAGCTCCATGTGATTTTATCATGCAGGCCAATAGCCTGTGATTGACCTTCTGTTGATCATTGCTGATATCTGTATTGTATTTTGGTGAGTTGGCAGCTGCTCATTCAGGAGTAAGAGGAAAACTTATCTCAGGAAGCAGTGGGTTCAGTAGTATTCTGGTTTTATTACTAAGTGATCATCCATAATCCAGGACTGACGATTAGGGACATGCGTTTGGATGCCGTCACACTGTCTTGGGGATTTAAATACAATGAACTAAATCTGGACTAAAAAGTTAATAGTGACCATGGATTTTTTGTTAAAATCCATCTGGTTCATTAATGTCCTTTAGAAAAGGAAGTCTGCCGTTAGTACTTGATATGAGCTATATGTAAATTCAGACCCATAACAATGGCTGACTCAACTGCCTTCTGAAAAGGTCTAAGCCAGCAATTCAAGTTTTATTCAAGAGCGACAAATGCTGACCTTGCTTGCAATACATTCGCCTTGTAAATGAATAGGAAACACTGATGATATTTGGAAAATGAGCTTCCCTGTTGTTTTGTCCTTGTGTCACTGAAGAGATTGTATAGCAGGGTTTAAACAGATGTGATCCTTTCCCTCCCTTCACATTATTCCAAAGAATTGTGGAGGAGAAAAATGTAATTTTAATCCGAACTATTGATAGTGTTTGGGGTTCTCTAACTGTCTGACACTTGCGCTTGTAGTAACTGGCAAAACCTAAACAGTTTGCAGTGTTCAGCTGACATCTTTGAAGGTGCAAGAAATGCAGCAGATCTGGAGCTGGTGAAGTGTTTGTTGTAATGCTGGGTAGTAGTCTCTGTATAAGATAGGGTGATGACTGTTCCTGGAACATTGAGTGACAATGTAAATGAGAAGTGCTCATGACCGTTCATCCTGCATCCTTTTAAAACAACATTAGTATGAAGTTTTAACCCAATGGGCTATCTCAATTTTACCATTACTGAAATAAATATAAAATACATTTTAAATGTGTTGTTAATTAAATTTCTGAAATCGTGTGGTGGATTGACAGATGTTCGTATTCTGGGTTATTGGGATTTATGCAGGATGAGTGTGAGATGCAAAGTAGTGTTTTGGAGCTCTAATTGGCATTTGAACTTTATTTTGATTGAAAGCCTGTTATTTTTAAGGGCACATTGAGATATTTTAACCACTTTCTCGTTCACATTGACATTCAATTTATTATGTGAATTGCAATTGTCATGTTCACTGTTGTACAGTTGTGCTCATTCAGTCACTTATGCCTTCCTTCTGTACAGACATCCCCCTTATCCAAATCTTTATCCAGACCAGTCTCCCAGTGAAGAATGGACAATGGAAGAGCGTTTTCGACCTTTAACTTTCCATGGTCTTATTCTGAGATCTCAGCTGGTTACACTACTTGTGCGTGGTGTTTGCTACTCAGAGACCCAGTCAGTAAGTTCCTTAGAACACACCTATGTTTTTTATTTTTCTTAAAATTCAGCATTTTATTGTTGGTTTTTTTTGTGCTAAGCAAGGAGATGCATGTTTTGATGGGTAATAATATTACTCCCAGTGCCAGCTGTTATAACATGTCCAGGGCCAATACAGTATAGGCTAGAAGATGTAAGTGCTCATTCGTTTGATCTGGCAATATCAGTCGGCAGAGAAAAAAATAAATGTTTCATGTCTGTGTTCTGACTATGTCCAGTATTTTTTTTCTGATTTCCAGCATCTGCAATATCTTGCTTTTGTCACACATTTGGAATTGAACTGAGGGAACCTAATTTGTTTAACTCAATGAACATCTGCAGAATTCCCACTAAGGATCCCATTTAAAGAGTAAATAGTGATCTTAGAGACTGACTTGAATAATGTTTTCAGAAAACTACACTAGTTCTTGTGATCAATCACTGCAGCAACTCCAGAGAAAACCACAGGGATGAAGTATGATGCACTTTGTAAAATTGAGGGAAAAAGTCTTTTCTCTGATATATTTACGTTATTTGGGGTGCAAAGTAAATGACCAGAAGAATTGGGATAACAATGAGGGACAGGCAATGCATTTGAGAACTTTTATCTGAGGAATATACTAATAGACCAATTGGGGACAGAGCTTGTAAAGAGCATTGAGGTAGCAATCAAAATTTTTGCAATTAAATAGATGGGATATGGGCAGATAGGTTATTGGAACTAGAGAGCACTATCCATTGGAGGAGAATTGGCAACAAGAAGGTGCAGACGCAGAAACCTAGTGACCAAGTTAAAGACAAGGTCATGAGAAAAGGTATTTGTTTGGTCAGTAATAACATTAGAAATAAAATTTATGTAGCTCCTGACAGCTATTGAATTGTTGAGCTTTGCTGTAATATATCATGGCTGAATCTAAAGCCTGTTGTTGAATTTAAATAGTTTGAATGTGTTCAGAAAAGGTGGCATCGCCTGAAATATCGGGAATTCCTGGGAGTTGAAGTCAAGCTGAACCTGTGGAAAGTTTTTAAAAAAAAAAAAAAAATCTACATGATAAACTACTCTGGTTTAATGTTGCCACTGTTTGAAACCCAAAGCGTAGCTCTTAGGAACCAGCACCAAATGGGAAGGACTTGTCCTTAGAAGAGATAAATTTTTTAAGAGAATGAGAGGGTTAATTTAATGGACAACTTCGGTTAATCATGCACGTTTTTTATAAAGCCCAAATAGCTGACAGATGGTAAATGATACTGGTGATTGCTTTGTGAACCATTTTGTCAGAGAGCCAGGAGAAGCAGCTGATCTTGACTTGGTATTCGTGAGTGACTCAGACAACAGACAGGAAGTGGAGGTTGTGACATCTTTGGGAAACAATGACCACAGGATAGTCAAATTCATCATTATCTGAGATTCAGAAACAAGGACCAGAAGCCAGGTATATAACTTTTTAAAGGGGCTAATTCCAAAAGCAAAGTATCCAAAGTTTCCAAAAGAAAGGGAAGTTGGTCCAGCAGCATATCAGTGAAAGCCAAGTGTGATATCTTTAAAGCAATTACGTTGAGCATGCAGCAGAATAATATATTTAATAGGTAGACTCCATGAATGGTGCTGAAATACTCAAAAAAAAAAAAAAAAAAAAAAAAAAAAAAAAGGTAGAACGCTTGAAGTCTAATGTGATTCAATGTGTTCAGCCAGTAGGAAAGCCGAATGTTGAACTACATAGCCAGCATTGAGTATGTCAGAGGAAGCCCTGATCAAACAATACAGGATTCTGGCCAGACTGCACCTATGTCTAAATCTAGTTGCTGAGATACAACACAAACATTGAAGAACTGGGAAAATGCAAACAAGAGCCAAGAAGCTGATCAGGGTAGTCCAAGCTCTGAATCGAGCATAAAATTGTATTCTGAGCCTTGAAAGATAGTTAACAGCGTGGAAAAACTAAATATGGAATAATACTTTAAACTAACCAGCCACTAAGACAAGGAAACACGGCCTCAAACTAGTAACAGGCAAATTTTGGAACAATTGGAAGTTTTATCATACAGAAAGGACTCCAAGGTGGTGACAGGGATTGGAAAACCGTACATTCCTCAGAGGAATAATCGGCTGTAGCAATGGGGCAGAAATTGAATTGTTTTGAGTGGATAATCTATGAAGTTCCTTATATCCCCACTAATCAACAATGATCATGTGCTGGTCTTTTTTTTTTTACCAATTGTTGCTTAAGTCACGCTCTCGCTACATTCTAGAGTTCCACCCAACCACGACTATCCTATTTGGAGATGACTGAAGATTATCCACGATATCCTGATGTTCATGACCTTGACCTGACCCTCCTCAACCCACGCATGATTGTGGTAAGTCATTGGAGCTATAGTACAAGTGGATTAGGGGCCAGCAGCTGTTTGTGATCTGATTGATTCGTTTTTATCAACAGTGCACAAAGAGCTAGGTCTGACTTTGCATCATTAATGTAATATTGGGGAAGAGGCATGGGTTTGTGTGCAACTGCAGGCACATGCACCCTTCCCTTTTCTACTTCTGTTGCTGTTGTTCTTCATGAGAATCTGTTTGTAGCCATTGGGGGGCCCTAGATTCTCAGCAGTAGTCATTTTCATTTAAATAGAGTCATAAGTCTACAGCATAGAAGATAACCCTTTGGCCCATCAAATCTGTATCAGTCAAAAACAACCAACGATCTACTCTAATCCCAGTTTCCAGCACTTGACCAATAGCCTTGAATGCCTTGGCATTGCAAGTGTACATCTAAAAGCTATTTAAATGTTATAAGGGTTTTTGGCTCCATCACCCTTACAGGCAGTGGGTTCCAGATACATAGAACATAGAACAGTACAGCACAGTACACGCCCTTCCGCCCATGATGTTGTGCCGACCTATTACCCTACTAAGATCAATCTGTCCTGCTACCCTACATTTTACTATCTTCCATGTGCCTATCCAAGACTCGCTTAAAAGTCTGTAAAGTATCTGACTCCACTACCACTGCCGGCAGTGCATTCCACATGCCCATTACTCTCTGTGTGAAGAACCTACCTCTGACATCTCCCCTATACCTTCCTCGAATCACCTTAAAATTATGCTCCTCGTAATAGTCATTTCCACCCTGGGAAAAAGTCTCTGCCTATCCACTCTATCTATGCCTCTCATCGTCTTGTACACCTCTATCAAGTCACCTCTCATCCTTCTTTGCTCCAATGAAAAAAGCCCTAGCTCCCTCAACCTTTCCTCATAAGACCTGCCCTCCAGTCCAGGCAGCATCCTGGTAAATCTCCTCTGCACCCTCTCTAAAGCTTCCACATCTTTCCTATTATGAGGCGACCAGAACTGAACACAATATTCCAAGTGTGGTTTAACCAGAGTTTTATAGAGCTGCAGCATAACCTTGCGGCACTTAAATTCAATTCCCCTGCCAATGAAAGCCAACACACCATACGCCTTCTTTATAACCTTACCAACTTGGGTTGCAACTTTGAGGGATCTATGGACGTGGACCCCAAGATCCCTCTGTTCCTCCACACTGCCAAGAATCTTGCCATTAACCCTGTATTCTGCATTCAAATTTGACCTTCCAAAATGAATCACTTTACACTTTTCTGGGTTGAATTCCATCTTTGCCCAGCTCTGCATCCTGTCAATGTCCCGTTGCAACCTACACGCTGTCCACAACTCCATCAACCTTCGTGTCATCGGCAAACTTATTAACCCACTCATCCATTTCCTCATCCAAGTCATTTATAAAGATCACAAAGAGCAGAGGTCCCAGATCAGATCCCTGTGGAACACCACTGGTCACCGAGCTTCAGGCTGAATACTTTCCATCTACTACCACCCTCTGTCTTCTGTTGGACAGCCAAATTTCCCTGAATCCCATGCCTCCTTACTTTCTGAATGTACCTACCATGGGGAACCTTATCAAATGCCCTGCTAAAATCCACTGCTGTACCTTCATTGATTGTGTTTTGTCATATCCTCAAAGAATTCAATAAGGCTTGTGTCGCATAACCTGCCCCTCACAAAGCCATGCTGACTATTTCTAATCACACTGTGCTTTTCCAAATAATCGTTTCCAAATAATCATAAATACTATCTCTCAGAATCCTCTCCAATAATTTGCCCACCACAGAAGTAAGATTGACCGGTCTGTAATTTCCAGGATTATCCCTATTCCCTTTCTTGAACAAGGGAATGACATTTGCCACCCTCCAATCTTCTGGTACTACTCCAGTGGACAGTGGCCAAAGGGGCAGCAATCTCTTCCCTCGCTTCCTGTAGTAACATAGGGTATATCCCATCTGGCCCAGGGGACTTATCTATCCTCATGTTTTTCAAAATTTCTAGCACATCCTCCTTCCTAATAACAACCTGTTCGAGCATATCTGCCTGTTTCATGCTGTCCTCACAAACGTCAAGGTCCCTCTCACTGGTGAATACTGAAGCAAAGTATTCATTAAGGACCTCCCCTACCTCCTCTGACTCCGCGCACAAGTTCCCTTCACTATCCCTGATTGGCCCTACCCTCACTCTGGCCATCCTCTTGTGCCTCACATAAGCATAGAATGCCTTGGGGTTTTCCTTGATCCTACCCGCCAAGGTTTTCTCATACCCTCTTCTAGCTCTCCTAAGTCCATTCTTCAGTTCCCTCCTGGCTACCTTGTCGACCTCTAGAGCCCTGTCCGATCCTTGCTTCCTCAACCTTAAGTAAGCTTCCTTCTTCCTCTTGACTAGGTGTTCTACATGTCTTGTCATCCAAGGTTCCTTCACCTTACCATCCTTTCCTTGCCTCAGTGGGACGAATCTATCCAGTACTTGTAGCAACTGCTCCCTAAACAACCTCCACATTTCTGTTGTGCATTTCCCAGAGAACATCTGATCCCAATTGGTGCTCTGTAGTTCTTGCCTAATAGCATTGTAATTCCCCCTTCCCTAATTAAATACGTTCCCACACCCCGTCTGCTCCTATCTCTCTCCATGCCTATAGTGAAGATCAGGGAGTTGTGATCACTATCAGTGAAATGCTCTCCCACTGAGAGATTTGACACCTGGCCTGGTTCGTTGCCAAGCACCAAATCCAGTATGGCCTCCCCTCTAGTCAGCCTATCTACATATTGAGTCAGAAATCCTTCCTGGACACACCTGACAAAATCTGCTCCATCCAAACTATTTGCACTTAGGAGGTTCCAATTTATATTAGGGAAGTTGAAGTCACCCGTGACAACAACCCTATTACTTCTGCACCTGTCCAAAATCTGTGTCTCAATCTGTTCCTCAGTGTCTCTGTTGCTATTGGGGGGTCTATAGAAAACTCCCAATAAAGTGGCTGCTCCTTTCCTGTTTCTGACTTCCAACCATTTCTGACACAGTGGACAAATCTTCCCCCATGACCTCCCTTTCTGCAGCTGTGATACCATCCCTGATTAGCAATGCCACTCCCCCACCTCTTTTACCTCCTTCCCTATTTCTTTTGAAACATCTAAACCACGGAACATCCAACCACCATTTCTACCTCTGTGTTATCCAAGTCTCTGTAATGGCCACAACATCGTAGTTCCGAGTATTTCCATCACCCTGTCAGTGAAACAAGTTATCCTCTCATCCCTCGTCAACCTCCTGCCCCTTATCCTAATCTGCCTGTCTTTGGTCCCTCCAGTAAGGGGACACATTCCTTCCTGTCTACCTTGTCTGTGTCCCTCAGTCTCCACTACATCAAGGAAAACAATCCCACTCGTTCTAATCTCTCTTCATAACTAAAACACTCCAGTCCAGGCAACATCCTAGTAAATTTCCTATGCACCTTTTCCAGTGCTATCACATCCCTCTCTTAATGTTAAATTCAAAATGGGTACATCGTGCCAAATAGTAATTATTGACCTGTCTTTATGGCATTTGTACTTTGCTAAATTCACTCTCAGTGCAACGTTTTTTGGCTCCTTATTTGTTGATTGATTCCACTGTAAAACTGGTTTAGCCATTCATTGTTCTATCTTATGGAACTTTGATCGGGTCCTGTTTTCTTTTGCTTTGTTTGTTCTTGAATGTGTTATTGTGTCCCAAATCTGTGTCTATATTTTCCACTATTTCGTTTCTGACCTTCTCCAATCATGTTTCAATCCCTGCTGTAGCCCATATCAAAGTTATTCTCTCTGACCATGAATACAGTAAACTAGCTGCCCTTATTCTTTTCAGCCTTTATGTAGCTTTCAGTGTGATTGACAACACTACCCTTTACCAGTGCGCCTCCTGTGTCATTTAGTTGAGTGGAACTGCACATACTTGGTTCCATTTATCCATTCAAGACCACAGAATACCTGGAATGTCTTCTCTTTGTGCTGCTGCACCAGTACTTCTAGAATCCTGAGGATCTATCATTGACTCCGTCCTATTTTCATTTACATGCTGTCTGTCAGTGACATCATCTAAAAGTATACATTCAATTTCTACATGCTGCTGAATATTCCCAGCTGGCCCTCACCATCACTGTTGTAATGTAGCAATTTGTACTCAACAAGATCCAACAAATAGCAATGTGATGTGTGTTTTAAATGATGTTGATAGGGTAATGAACATTGGAGGAAAAGCCACCCTTCTCTTTGAATCTCTGCAATGGGATCTTTATATCCAGGAGAGAAAATGATTGGGACTTTGTCGTTCAAATGAAATATGAAGCCAACACCTCCAACAGCACAACAGTCCCTTGAAACTAAATTGGAAGAGTTGCCTATGTTATGTGCTCAAATATTTGGAGTGAGACTTCAACTTCCTTTTGACAGAGGCAAGAGTATTGATCATTGAATTATTACAGATTAGTGTTTATTTAAAAGGTTAATATACATCATTTGGAGTCTGGGAGGCAAGGTTGTGATGGATACTCTGGCTGGGTGGTAATATGAAAAAGAGGATAATGATTTACTTTGCAAGTTGTTATGTCCAGATTAATGTTTGTTATATAACCTTATGTTGAAATAGTTTTCTTTTCTCTGCTGTAGGACATTACACCTTACATGAATCCTTGTCCTTACACGGTCTCACCAAACACGCACGTGTCTCAGGTCTTCAACCTGTTCCGCACCATGGGATTGAGACATCTGCCAGTGGTCAATGCTGTGGGAGAGGTGAGTTAGGGCCAGAGTCATATTATTAGATACAAGATTCATGAGAGGCATCATCGAGGTGGGGGTCTGTGTGTGGGGCTAAGATTTCTTCATGGAATGTGAGCATCACTGGTAAAGTAAATATTTATTGTCTATTCCAAACTGCCCTAGAGAAGGTGACGATGAGCTGCCTTCATGAAGTGCTGCAGTCTTTGGAGTGTACCGTGGGTACCCACAATGCTATAGGACGAGGGTTCCAAGATATTGACCTAGTGACCATGAAGACATGGCAATGTAGTTCCACTGCACGTAGGTGTGTGGCATGGAGAGAACTTGCAGGTAGTGATGTTCTCGTGCATCTGCTGCCCTTGTGCTTCTACATGGTAGTAATGGAAAGTGCTCTTGGAGCTGTTTGAGTTACTGGGCTGCATCTTGCAGATGGTGCATTTCATTGACCAATATCTAAATATTGAATTAGGCAGTAAAAGATGTTCAGAGATTTATGAGGATTAATGGTAAATCCATAGTTTAGCACAAACACCAGTTTCCACTTTTCCTTTCTGGATACTTTCCCTGCCGAGGAGCCCACTGCCACTGGGAAGAACCCAGCTATTTTTTAATCAACCTGTTCAAACAGTTTTTTTTTTAGAACAGAATCCCTACAGTGTGGAAACAGGCCATTCAGCCCAACAAGTCCACATTGCTGCTCCGAAGAGCATCCCACCCAGACCCATTCCCTACCTTGCATTTCCCATGTCTAACCCGCCTAACCTAAACACATCCCTGCACACTATGGGCAATTTAGCATGGCCAATCCACCTAGCCATCTTTGGACTGTGGGAGGAAACCGGAGCACCCAGAGGAAATCCACGCAGACACAGGGAGAATGTGCAGATTCCATGCAGACAGTCGCCCAAGGGTGGATTGAACTCGAGTCCCTGGTGCTGAGACAGCAGTGCTAACCACTGAGCCACCGTGCCACCCCCAATCTTGCCTATGTCACACCTCTGCCCACCAAAGCCAGTGTGACAGTAATAAAACTGAAGGAAGGGTAGGGAAAACAAAGGAGGAACTAAATCAAAATATTACCAGAGGATAAAGTAATGTTCAGATGTATTATGATGCATCTCTGGAGAAGGTGAGACTTGAACTCAAGCCCTCTTGTCCAGATATAGGGATGTTATCATTGCATCACAAGAGACCCCAAGCACTCAGCTTTTAGATATTTGTATATTTTCTAATTAACCTGTTCAGAAATAATTACAAATGTCTGGATCAAGTGGGACTGAACCAAGGCCTCCTGGTACAGAGGGAGCATGCTACCACCACGGCCCCAGGCACCAGCTTTTAAAAATACAGTATTCAAAAGTATTGCCTGCTGTCAATCAACTGTGAAGTTTATCCTTAAAATTACCTGCATTTCTCATTGACATAACACATTGCTGTCACTGTACTTTGATGAAGAGAAGGAATGTTGAAGGTCGTGGATGTAGTTCCGATAAAGTGGCTATTTGCCCTGGATGATGTCAAGCTTCTTGAGTATTGTTGGAGCTGCACATACCAGGCAAGTTGAGAGTATTCCATCACACTCCTGACTTGTAGGTCTTAGATGGTGGATAGGCAGTGGGCAGATGGGACGTGAGTTATTCGTCACTGAATTCCCAGCTCTAACCTGTTCTTGTAGAAACATACTCACTTCTGACTATTGATGGAGGGAAGGTGAAGCAGCTGAAGACAGTTGGTCCTAGGACACTATCCTTGGGAGCTTCTGTAGTGATATCCTGGCGCTGAGGTGATTGATCTCTAACAACTAGAACCATCTGCCATTTTGCTTAGTATGAGTTCAACTAGCAGTGAATTTTCCCCCTGATTCCCAGGTTTTGCCAGGGCTCCTTGATGCCATAATTGCGTTGCGATAGTTTATTTTATGAAATAATCTCAGGAACCTTGAAATAGGTCAATGATCTTTTATTGAATGAATATTGGGAGAGTCCACTCTAGGAAAGGTTCTGAGGTAGCAATCTAACTTGGCAAGAAATCATTAGATATTTCTACATTGTAAATCAAGCAGACAGTATATTACTTGAATTCCCAAATGGTCTGTTTTAGACAAAGATCTTGTTTTTTACACATTCCAAAAGTGGCAAGGGGCCAATTACCCCTGGTTTCACCACTCCCATCTTCCCAGGTGCCAACTTACCTCTGCTCCAAAGTCTGTGCTTCATTCTCATCCTTGACTAAATCCTAAATGCTTTGTCTGTCTTGGTGTGGTATCGGATCATCATGACATTCGATTTCCAAATAAAACCTCGGGATACATACTGGATCAGCCATCTTGTACTTTCACAGAAGCCTGTCTGTCTGCTGCATCAGCATCTGAGCGTATTTGTGCAATTTAAATTTCTTAACCTGAGTACTTTGTTGAATAAAATAAATGAAAAATAATTCTTTAATTATTATTTCGTATGAAGTTAACCAAAACACTCTACCTTATTCTAATCCCAACTGGAAATTCATGTAGATTTACAGGCTAACTTGTCATACCCAAATTGCCCCCTAACACTTGTTAAAAATGTTGCCTTGTTATTGAGGCCATTCACTCTCGCCTCGCTTCTAGAGTAAGATCTTTGTCCATATTGGACTAAAGCTGTATTGGGGCAAGAACTGAATGACTCCAGCAGAATACAAACTAATCGTCAGTTAGCTGGTTATTTCCAATGCCACGCAATAACACTTGCTGACCCTTTCTATCACCTTATTGCCTCATTGGTCTACTTTCTATCATCAGTAATGTAGAACTGCTTTTGAAGAAGGGTCACTGGACTTGAAACATTGATACTATTTTCTCTCCAACAGTTTCAGAACACTGCAAGCTTCTGTTGTGAAGAAGGGTCACTGGACACTACTTGCCCTCCACACATGCACCTGACCACCTGAGTTTTCCCAGCAATTTGATTTTGTTTCTGATTTCCAGCATGCGCACTTTTATTTTTTTGTTTTGCTTTTGTGTTTTTTCTGTTAGGGTGATAATTGGCTGCTTTGGATCTGTCTCTCTTTTTCAAAATATACAAAACATATCTAGGCCATTTTTCACATTGCTGGCTAGATGCTGGTTTTGTAACTACTGGAACAACTTGGCTAAGGGTATAGCATGTCTCAGAGCAAAAGTCTTCAATAGGATTGAATGTTGTCAGCCCCACAGCTTTTGCCGTATTCGGTGCTTTTAGTGGTTTTTAATATCATGTGAGTATACTAACTTGAAGACTGGCATCTATGATGCTGGGGTCCTCAGCAAGAGACTGAGATGGAACATCCAGTCAGCAGTTCTAGCTGAAAATTAATGCAAATATTTCAGCCTTGTCTTTTGTACTGATGTGCTGGGCTCTCCCATCATTGAGGGTGGGAACTTTTGTGGAACTTACAGTTCCAATGAGTTATTTAATTATCCAGCAGCATTCATGATTGAATATGGCAGGACTGCAGAGCTTATCTGATCTGTTGGTTGAAGGATCATTTGGCTCTGTTGATTACATACTACTTCCACTGTTCAAGTAGTCACTCGTACACTGTAGCTTCACTTGATTGACATCTCATTCACCAGGTTTTACTGATGCTGCTGTTGGCATCCCTTCCTGCACTCTTCATTGGTAGATTGTGAAATAAGCTGGACCATAAGGTTACAGATTGTGGTTGAATACAATTCTGATGCTGCTTTTGACCTACAACGCCTCATGGATTTTCAGTCTTAAGTTGCTCGATCTGTTTGACCTCTATCTGGTAATGCCACACAATGTGCTAGTATACATCATTGTGAAGTCTGGACTTTTTTTCCACATGGATTGTACAGTGGTCATCCCTATGACACTGACATGAATAGACTCATCTATGATGGGTAGATTGGTGAGGACGAGGTCAGGAAAATGTTTCCTCCTTGTTGATTCACTCATTGCTTGCTGTGGTGTCTTTTATGCCCCAGCCAGTTTGGTCAGTATTGGTGCTTCTGAGCCATTCTTGGTGATGGACTTTTACAGAAAGTACTTTCTGAGCCCTTGCTATGCTAGATGCTCCTCCAAGTTTTGTTTAACATGTCAGAGTACGAGTTCATCAACTGACAGGGCAGTAGGTGCTAACCAGCAGGAAGATTCCTTGCCCATTTTTGATATTTCCTGGGACCCATAGTCAAAGTTGAAGACTCTGAAGGCAAATCATTCTGAATGTACACCACTCTATTACCACCTCTAGTGGGTCTGTCCTGTTGGTAGGACAGGACATACTCAGGAATTTTACCCAGGATCAGGGGAACAGGCTCACTACTGGGGTGGTAGTGGTCACTAATAGTTTGTTTGGGACAAGGTGGCGACGTAAGTGTCAACAGCACAGTCTTCTACTTTTGATTTTGAGGTGGTCATTCAAATCAGTGTTAGCCTGAAAATGTTTTCCACAGTTTCTAACACCCCAGGCTCCAGTGTCTCCTGTTCGGCATTCTTTGAAATACTAATAATAGAATTAAATAAGAACATATGGGATCCCAAAGATCGCAGGGTAACTTGTATTTCTGATGTGTCTACTCTACATACTTGTTAACAAATATTTTTGAGTTCCAACTGAGAGTTGGATCCTTACTTAGCTAAGTATGTTGCCATGTTTGAAAGGAATGATAATTGCAACTGGTCAGACACATGCTAAATGGTTAACTAGTGGACTGTCAATTTTTAACGTGTATCTGTTAGTACTAACATTGGTGAGTTTCCTTGGTGTGACAGGGGAGAATTAGAAGTAAGAAAATGCAAGCTTACTTTTTTTTGACCAGTTCATCTCTATTCCCGATTTACTGTTGGCTGTCCTGGCTCAACCTGAATTTGCAGTAAGATTCTGGGATCTTTCATTGTCCTCACATATCCAGAGCCAGATATTCAATTTGTCTGTGGATTACAACTGAAGATGTTGAAACTGTATCTAGGAAATTTTGTTTTCCTATGGGTTGTACGTGTTTACTTCAGGGATTGAGGTAGAATTTCATCAGATTCTCTTCATGGGAGTTTCTGGTGCCGATTAATGATCCATCATATCAGTAAATATGTCAATTGGCATGGCATTATGATACCAAATTAAAGTTAATTCAGCATTGTTGATGTGATTCGGTGACAAATTTGATGGAGAAAAAGGACACCAGGGGAGGAAGAATTTAATCATAATCCTATCACATTTCATTTTTGCTTTGTTCCAGATTGTTGGAATCATCACACGACACAATTTAAGCCACGATTTTCTATCAATGAAACTGCGGCAGCACAATATGACAATGTGACTTTCGTCCTCACTGTGCAACATTCCAGAATCTTCTTCCCTGCACTGCAATGACTTTGATTTTCAGGGCCATTTAATGAGACAGGACATTCATCGGTGCCTATATCCTGCTCGTTCACCTGCCAACAAGCGACAGCCACTGAAAGATCTTGGCTCTGCCATTAACGTATAATTTGCAGCACTACTTGCACCTATTTAAAATAGACGATACTGATTTTGTTAATTGTGGATTTAACTGCAGTGTTTGTATGTCTATTCCTGTGAACTTGGAAGCAGTGAAAAGGAATGATTGCTTTTATATTAGCTTAGCTTCTACAGTTGGACCTGCAGCAGTTCAAGGATTTTGCAGCACATAATGTTAGGTGAATACTTTGTTTTGCAGTTCGTTGACTTTGCACAGTACTTTGTTGTCAGTCAGGTCAGTATCAAAAGGACTGGTCTGGAAAAGACAAACATAAAAGCACTAACAAAACAAAATTCAGAGGTACTTACTAACCAGGTACATCAGAAATAATTAACAGACTTCAACTTCACTTTTATGGAACTATGCACCTACACCCCGGGTTTCTTTGTTTGACAACACTCTATAGGCCCCTTCCATTAACTGTATAAGTCCTGCCCTCGATTGACTTACCAAAATGGAACACCTCGCATTTATCTAAATTAAATTCCACCTGCCATTCCTCAGCCCATTGGCCCATCTGCTCAAGGTCCCATTGTACTTTGAGCCTTCTTCACTGTCCACTACACCACCTATTTTGGTCTCATTTTCAAATTTGCTAACATGCTTCCTATAATCACATCCAGATCATTTAAATAAATGAAGAAAAGTAGTAGACTCAGCACAGATCCTTGTAGCATACTGCTGGTCACAGGCCTCCAGTCCAAAAAGCAACCCTCACACCACCCTCTGTCTCTTACCTTCAAGCCAATTGGCTAGCTTGCCCTGGAGACCATGTGATCTAACTTTTTAACAAGTCTACTGTGTATAACCTTCTCAAATGCTTTGCTGAAGTTCATATAAAGTCTACTGCTCTGCCTTCATCAGTCTTTTTCACCTATTTAAGAAAACTCAAGTCAGTGAGACACAATTTCCCATGCACAAAGCCATGTTAACTATCCATAATCAGTCCTTGCCTTTCGAAAAGCATGTAAATCTTGTCCCTCAAAATCCCCTCCAACAACTTAGCCACCATTGATATAAGGCTCACCATTCTATAGTTCCTTTGATTTTCCTTAGTCTTTTGTAAACAATGGAACCACATTAGCCAACCTCCAGTCTTCAGGCACTCACCCGTAGCTGTTGATGATGCAGATATCTCAGCAAGGGCCCCAGCAATCTGTTCCCTAACTTCTCATAAAGTTCTGGGAAACGCCTGATCAGGTGCCAGGGATTTATCTGCCTTTATGCATTTTAAGATCTCCAGCACCTTATCTCTTCTGTAATTTTAGCTCTTTCAAGCAGGTAGACAGGGTGGTGATGAAGGCGTTTGGCACGCTTGCCTTCATTGGTCTGACGTTATGTAGGAGTTGGGACATCATGTTGAGGGTAACTTTTTCACATAGATGATGGTGCGTGTATGTACAGGCTGCCAGTGGAAGTGGTGGAGGCGGAAACAGTTGCATCATTTAAAAGGCATCTCGATGAGTATACGAATAGGAGGGTTTGAAGGGATATTGGTCAAATTCTGGCAAATGGGACCATGTCAGTTGGGATGTCTGGCTGGCCGAGTTGGACCAAATAGTCTGTTACTGTGTTGTAACTCTGACTTAACACCAACTATTCTCCCAATTCTTTTGCATTTTGTACAAACTCTAAAACTGCAAATAGATTCATTGATGTAGTAATTCTGCAGGGAATTTTGTTCATGTGCACAAACCTGGGGATTAGTTTGAACAGTGCAGTCAGAAAATGCTGACGATACTTTTGAAGCTATTTGAGGTGAAATTCTAACTGCTGAAGGACCTGCTGCAGATTTCCAGCATTAACAATTTGTTTCATTTTGGAATGGAACAGACTCCTGATTGGAGAAGTTTCTGTTGCCATTAGTAACCACTACAGTTCAGTCAAGCTTTGTCGTAATACTCTTGCTGTGATCTCCATGGCAACATGATTTGTTTCTAACTTGGTATCCACAGCTTCCCCCAGTTGGTACAAATGATGTGCAGATGACACTATTACAATGAAAAATATTATTGATCTCTGATCAAATTCAAGGTAAAATAATTGGCAGATGTGAAATTAGTAGTATTGGGATCAGTGTAATGATGCACCCAAATGAATTCTTTGATTTCCCAGAAGTTGTATTTTAGCAGAGTTCTCAGTACAACAGCCCAGGGTGAGGGGCTAAGGAGTGAAGTGATTGAAAACGATATTTGTTAATGCACTTAAGAATGTGACAAAAGCTGATAGAATCATCAAGAAAATGAAACTCCTCATTACGGATTCTTGTGAAGTTATTTGGAACCCAGCAAGTTGCCTTTTCTTGGTATTTCACCTGGCCGTAGTATTGTGGAACTCGTCCTTTCGCCTGGGATTCTCGATAATGAATTAAGCCATTAAATTTATGCATCCAATGAGGGCAGAGTGAATCTGTTATCCTCCTTTTTATAAGTTCAGATACTTAAAGGAAAACAATTCCATGTTTTACAATTACTTTTAGAGAAGCAAACTACGTATGTGGAGGATTAAAGTACACAAAGGGAACTCAGATTAGCAGCTCATAAATGAAAGGGAAAGGCTATTGGAACCTTCACTCGGGATTGTATTGTGAATTAAAAAAAAAAAAAAAATTCCTTATTTGATGCGGTTGAATGTTTGTCTTTGACAGTCTCAACATGGTTGGAACCTCGGGAAAAAGTTTGATTTGGGACTTAGCTTAAGTCACATTGAAAAGCAGAATGGTTTATTAAAAATGTTATTTTTGCCTTTCGTGATATTCCCTACACCTAATTGCCCATTGCTGTTTCCTGAGATCAATGTATAGTCATTGATCATTTTGACAATATTATGAAATAACTGAGTAACACTTGGCAATTTAAAATACTGTATGAGTCAGTAGTATTTGTTCATTTGTGTTTCAGAAATGCTCCTGGTTATGATGAGCTTAGAACTCATCTTCTGTAAGAGATAAAAGTAAAATGTTCCTTAGTTTTGGCACACTAAATGTAAATGATCTTGGAGCTATTTAATGCAAAGTGCTCCCTTGAGTCTTGTTTTTACTTGTGGGACATTGCAGACCAGCAGTGTTCTGTTTAGGACTTAGTCTGTGTGTTAATGTCTATACAATTTCTGAGACAGGGGCCAAGTTTAGTTTTAATTTGGATTTGAAATATTTCAGGCAGAATTGGATTGGAACTGTGTACCATAGTGCTCAGAGACTGTGTGCACCACGGAGCATTTGGATTCCACATTGTCATTAATATGGATATTTGGAGCTACTGATCCATATTGCCACTTCAATTAGTATTTATTCATCACAGGCTAGAGTACGAAACACAGCTCTTTCCAAACCTTCAAGCCCATAATATTCAAGGAGAAGAAAGCATGAAGCTTTCAGGTCCACAAACCTGACTTGGGCTGTAGTCTCTGGCCTGTGTTAAAATTGTCTATGAAAGCTGAAATATTCAGTATAGTGGGTGATACCATTATTGCTGTGATTGGAGTATTATCACATTGTTGTATTTGCACTTACTATTTGATATGAGCTAATTATTTCACATGGGAAAGGTTCTAAGGCCAAATATAATTCTCATTTTATTTTTTTATTCCATGTTTTTAAAATTTCTGTTTCTGTAATGATCTTTATTTCAAAATTTAGATTAAGTTGTAATAAACATTCCCATTTGTGATCCTGCAAATACTGACTCAATTTTTTATTCTTGTCACCCAAGCATATTTCCTAAGCATTATCTTGGGAATTCTGTACCACTGTCAAATTAATGACTTTCAAGTTAGGTTTTTTCTCAAGGCTTGTAACAGCTCCAACTTCTAACACGTCTTGATTAATACTTGTGGGTTAAAAAGGTCAAATTCTGATGGCAGATTGCATAAACTAGGTTTGTATTCTGTCATTTCAGAAGGTTGAGGGGTGATCTAATCAAAATGTTTGAAATGATAAAATGGTTTGATGAAATGGACAGAAACAAGCCATATCATTCTCTTGGGGAATTCAGATAAGGGGGCACAAAATTGGAATTACAATGAGACCATTTTACAGCATAATCAAAAGCACCTTTTCCACACAAACACAGACGTTTATAGTACAGAAGGATGTCAATTGGTCCATGCATGCCAGGCAACAAAGACCTGATTACACTAATTTCATTTTACAGCTTTTGCCCACAACCCTGGAGTCTCAAAACACAACTGAATATCTTAATAGTCCATAGGTGTTATGAGAGTTTCTCTAACTTGACCATCCTTTCAGGCAGTGAGTTCCAGAATTCCACAACCCTCTGAAAATAATTGTCTTCAACTCTGCTCTTTGCCTTCCATCTCTTACCTTAAATCTATTCAGATCATGTCCTGAAATGCGCTCATTCTCCCCCAACTGCAATTCAAACTCCAAATCCCAGAGCTTGATTTGTTCTGGCCAGAGGCATGTCCTGCACTTGTCATCATCAGACTGCCAGAGGCATCTATGATTTCCCACTTAGTGCAGGATGTGTAAATCACAGGCCTGAACTTCCCAGACATAGCTTAACTCAATGGAATATGGTCCCTTGCTTTGACCCTTACTCCCACTCCATTATGGACTAGAAAGGTCTTTATTCATGTTTCATGGACCAGTCAGGTCTACCACTGCTCTGTCTGCTTCTCAGTGAGGGTTCTCACCTTGCCCACTTATTTCAATTATGCTGACTGCCTGTCACAGGGTCCTCAACTCACCCATTGCTCTCAGTAATATTGATGTCTGTAACAGTGTCCTCACTTTACCCATTCTTCTTGCTAAAGCTGACTGTGTGTCACAGGGTCCTCACCTCACCTCACCTGCTCCTCCCAAACAATTCTCCCTAGAAGATGCTAGATTCTCAGGGACATTGAGTCAAATAGTCTGGAAACAGACCCTTTGGTCAACCAGTCCATGCCGACCATAATCCCAAACTAGTCTCCCCTGTCTGCACTTGGCCCATATCACTCCAAACATTTTTTATTCATGTACTTATCTAAATGTCTTTTAACGGTTGTAACTACTCTTATACCCCACTTCCTCTGGATATTCATTCCACACACGAACCACTCTGTAAAAAACAAAATTGCCCCTCAACTTTTTTTTTTTTAAAATCTTTCTCCTCTCATCTTAAAAATATCTAGTCTTGAAATCCCTCCCCCTAAGGAAAAGAAATCTGCCATTCATATCTATACTCCTCATGATTTTATAAACCTCTAAAAGATCACCCCTCAACCTCCTATGCTCCAGTGAAAAAAGTCCCAGCCTCTCCCCACAACTCAAACCCTCCATTCCTGGCAACATACTAGTAAATTTCTTGTGAACCCTCTCCAGCTTAATAATATCCCTCCTATAACAGGGTGACCAGAACTGGACACACTACTCTAAAAGAGGTCTCACCAACATCCTGTACAACCTCAAGATAAGGTCCAACTCTTATACTCAAAGGTGTGAGCAATGAAGCTAAGCGCTTTCTTAACCACCCTATCAATTCTGATGCAAACTTCAAAGAATTATGTACCTGAACCCCTAGGTTTTTCTGTTCTACACTACCCAAGGCCCTACTTCTAATTATATAAGTCCTGTCCCTTTTTTTACTAAAATGCAAAACCCCACATTTGTCCAAATTAAACTCCACCTGCTGTTCTTCAGCCCATTGACCTAATTGATCAAGATCTCTTTGTAATCTCAATTGGAGGTTTCAAAATTGAGGCTGATATTTCTATTAAATAAAGATATTGAGTGACATGGAGCAAAGGCAGGTAAATAGAGTTAAGACAAAGATCAGTCAGAATTTAATCAGATGGTTAAGCAGATATGAGGGGGCAGAATGGTTGTCTCATGTTCCTAATGCCTATTTTGGGTGCTGTATATTTTTTATCCAATCATGGGATGTGGGACATGGGTTTTACTGACTTGCCATTTATTGCCTGTCTCTAGATGTCCTTGAAAAGTTAGTGGTGAGTTGCCTTCTTGAACTGCTCAGTACACATGCTGTACATTGACTTACAATGCCCTGAGGGAGGGAATTCCAGAATTTTGACCCAGTGACACTGAAGAAATGGCAAAATGTTTCCAAATCAGGATGGTGAGTGGCTTGGAGGGGAAACTACAAGTGATGGTGTATCTGCACCCCTTGCCCTTTTAGTTGTAAGTGGTTGTGGGTTTGGATAATGCTGTCTAAGGATCTTTGGTGAATTTCTGCAGTGCATCTTGAAGATAGTACACACTGCTGCTACAGAGTGTCAGTGGTGGAAGGAGTGCGTGTGGTGCCTATCAAGCAGGCTGCTTTGTCCTGGAATGTGTCAAGCTTCTTTGAATGCTGTTGAAGCTGCATCTATCCAGGCAAGTGGGGAGTATTCTATCACACGCCTAACTTGTCCCTTGTAGATGGTGGACAGGCTTTGGGGAGTCAGGAAATGAGTTACTCGGTGCAGTATTCCTAGCCTCTGACCTGCTCTTGTCACTGTGTTCAGTTTCTGGTTAATAGCAGCCCCCAAGCAGTGATGGTAACATCACTGAATGTCAAGGGGCTGTGGTTAGACTGTCTCTTATTGGTGATGGTCATTACCTGGCATTTGTGTGGTGCAAATGTTACTTAGCACTTGTCAGCCCAAGCATGAATATTGTCTAGATCTTGTTGTATTTGAAAATGAATTATTTTAATTAACAGACTTCAACTTCACTGCAAATGAAGTTGCAAATGGTACTGAACATTGTGCAATCATCTGTGAATATTTCTACTTCTGTCCTTAAAATGAAGAGAAGATCATTGGTGAAGCAGCTGATGATGGTTGGGCCTAGGGCACTACCTTGATGAACTGCTGCAGAGATGAAGCTGAGATGACTGACCCCTGAAAATCACAACTTCTTCCTATGTACCAGGTATGACTCTGACTAGCAGAGAATTTGCCTCCTGATAGCCATTGATTTCAGTTTTGCTAGGGCTCCTTGATGCGGCCTTGACGTCAAGGGCTGTCACACTCAACTCACCTCTGAAATTCAACTCTCTTGTCCATAACGACTCATGGTCTCCAATGGACGTTTAGTAGATGTTGGCACACATCTCAACATAATGAGTAATTCTCACCAGCCAGCCACCAACAGCCCGAGACCACCACAGCTCAAGATTAGGATTCTTGAGTATATACCTTTTACTAATGTGCTGCAACACTGATTTGACAGATACTTCCTGAACAAGTATATGCTATGGCATAATGCAGCTTCTGAGCACTTTTTATGCGGCACGGTGGTTCACAGCGCCAGGGACCCAGGTTCGATTCCACCCTTGGGCGACTGCATGGATTTCCTCTGGGTGCTCCAGTTTCCTCCTACAATCCAAAGATGTGCAGGCTAGCTGGATTGGCCAATGCTAAATTGCCCGTAGTGTTCAGGAAATTGTAGATTAAGTCTGGATGGGATGCTCTGAGGGTTGGTGTGGACTTGTTGGGCTGAAGGGCCTGTTTCCACACTGTAGGAATTCTATGATTCTATGACTATGATTGGTGCTATCAGCTTTGTGGACTGGGAGCACTGCTAAGCAATGAAGTTCCTGTTTGCACTGAGGAATGGTAATAAGAGGTTAATACTGAAATGTAGCAACTAGGTGACAACTTTTTAGATTTTGTTTAGACAGCAACTAATCACTGATTCCTAAACAATGTTTTCAAGACTAGTAGACATTGAAATTCTAACACAGAAGCAGGGTATTCAGCCAAACCCATTTATACAAGCAGTTCATTTTGTCCACGTAGTTCCCGTATCCCTCACTACTTTTCATTTAGCTATCTGTCTAAACATAGAAACTGAGAGCAGAGAGAAGGAGGTCATTCGACCCCATCTGTGCTGGTGCTTTAGCAGAACAATCCTGCTTCTTTTCCTTCTTTTCCTGCTAAATTCGCTTTGTAAAATGTATGGAGTGAACTTCTACCATTTTTTTGAGGTATAGGGTTCCAAATCTTGACAAGCCTCTAACTGAAAAAAGTTCTCACCTCATTTCTAGACATTTTGCTAGTGATATTGAGTCTGTGACCTCTAATTATTGAAACACTGAGTACAAATTCATTTTCACTATTCGTCCATCGAAACCTTTCAACTTGTAAACTTCTTTTGGGTTAGCACAAACTTTTTTGTTCCAAGAAGAATAATCTGAACTTTTCCAAACTTCCCAGATAACTGAAGTCCTTCATCCCTATAAACCACCTTTCCAATATTTCTAATTCCTTTTGTGATAGTGTAAACTTCAGACTGTTAATAACTTCATAGATTAAGAGAAGCAGCAATAACTCTGTCTGGAATAAATTATTAAGGGACAAGGACAAACTGTTGTACAGGAGCTGAAAGCAATTAGCCATGCTTGGGAGAGGAGGGGTCAAAGCTATATAAATGAAACTTTTAATAACTGCTTGATAAATGACTGTCTTATGCCACAGGGACAATAATTGCCCTGTAGAAGAATTTTAAGAGTTGATCACAGGAAAGCTGTGTCTTCAAACAGACAAGCCAATGCCAAATGTAACAAGGAACAAAGAGCTACTTCTGTTAAGAAGGCAAGCTGCAGACTTGATAGTTCCAGAGGAGTAGTCAATATTTTAGATGGAAGAATCTAAAGGATTATCAATAATTTCACACTACCAACTTGAAGGACAGAAAATTATATAAGAATTCAACTCCAGGATTCCTCTGGAG